ACTAAAAGCTTGAACCTCTCTGCACGCTATGCTTTCCTATGTGGTCAGCCGATTATAGCCGCTGATGTTTTTAGTGTGACTTGACTGACACCCAGCTGACATAACAAAAACCCAAGACCACCACTTTCAGGAGAGGGGGGGGTCTTGGGATGTTGAGGAAAAAGCTGCCCCGAGCCCCTGAAGGCAACCAGGAAGTTCAGCGTTGAATTTTAAATCACTGTTGTGGTCAGTAATCAAGGATGGTTTTAGCCTTTACTATTTCTTCCATCCTCTTCTTTTTTGAAACATAAAGTTACATTACACCAAATATTAACTACAGTGTAACAATACAGCTACTCCAGTGGCTCTGTGAGGCTGTATTTGCGGTGCATTATTATAAATAAAAAAAAAAAAATAAAAAAATTCTCACATGACAATTCTGATGTTTATTAGGATCTGCGCATTCACCACCTTTTTTCGGCAAGTCCAAGCCTAGATGGCCCGGTAAGTCAGGCTGAACAAAAGAAGAATGCTTTTGCCATTGCAATGAATAAGTTTTGGGCGAGCGCCCACGGGGGGCCAAAAATAAAAATATAAAATTAAACCATTTTTTAAAAAAAAAAATTAATGGTTTTTTTTTTTGGGAGAAAAAAAAAAAAAAAAAAAAAAAAAAAAAAAAAAAACAAAAAAAAAAAAAAAAAAAAAAAAAAAAAAAAAAAAAAAAAAAAAAAAAAAAAAAAAAAAAAAAAAAAAAAAAAAAAAAAAAAAAAAAAAAAAAAAAAAAAATTAAAAAAATATTGTGTGTAAAAAAAAAAAAAAAAAAAAAAAAAAAAAAAAAAAAAAAAAAAAATTAAAATAATTAAATATAAATATATTATATAAAATACCAAAAGAAAAAAAAAATTTTTTTTTTTTTATTTTTATTTAAATTTTTGTGTCACCCCGCCTCCATTTACCCCCTTTTCCAGTCACTCTTCAGCTGTCACAATCGATTATAGGCAATAAAAAAATGGACCAAAGTGGTGGACCAAACAACAGACATTTCCATCACGCCATCCCGCTATCATTGCTAAAACCTAGCTATTCACTAAAGCTGAATATCTGTTTCCACTCAAGGGCATTTCAACTTTAGTTTGAGTTTATGTGACCTTGCAAACAGTGTAGCTGCATTAATATTACAGTCACGGCTAAAAAATGATAATCATCTAATGGAAAAAATCCCTGATCTGGGATCAACACCAACATCTCATCAGTTGTGGTTTGCCCAAAGCTGAGCTCCTCATGCCAGTTAACCCTCAGTATTCATCATGTTGTATCCCCCTCCTCCTCCATCCATTCTTACTTTCTTTTCTTTCCAGCCACAAAATGTTGGATAGTGTCATAAAATAAAAATAAAAACTTCACATTTGTCACAAAAAGAGGTTTAATTGACTCAATTAAATCATCTCTGGTTCAAATTTTGGTAAAAGTTGGAATATTTTTCATTGTTACTGACGGTGAATACCATGAATTACAGCTTTGTTTTGGTAAACCCTTCATACTCACTCCTTCTCTCCACCACTCTCATCCCTTCCCGTATTCATTACCATCTAAAATATGGGCTAAAGTAAATATATATGATGGGCCCAAAAAAGGGTTTGCTTCCTAGCCTGAGATTTCCTTTTCAGCCCTTTTTTAATGTTAGTTGGTCGGTCAAACACTTTAGTCCAGACCGAAATACCTACAATACTAATACTAATACAACTGTGGATTAGCAAGAAATTGTGTATAGTGATTCATGGTCCCAAAAACGATGAATCTGAATAATCTGACTTTTCTTCAAGCACGAGGTTGACATTTGTGGGGTTTTAGTGAAAAGTCTCTGCAACTATCAAATGGATTGCCAAGAAATGTGGTACCGACGCTACTGTAACAGTACCCCACCATGAGGTTTTTTATTTTATTTTTTTAGGATTTTTTGGATTTACATAATATTTGGTTCAAGAAATCATTTCCCGTTGGGGTGAATTGTAATAAATTTGGCGATCCTCTGACTTTTCATCTCAGGTCAAAATTGAAATTGAAAAGGCATTATCTAGAGCCAGTGTTTGGTTTGTCTGTTCTGGGCTACTGTAGAAGTAGGACTGTTCAACATGGTGGTCACCATGAAATGCGGCCCGCGGCATCTGTAGGTATAACGGCTCATTCTAAGGTAACAAAAACATAAAGATTCATATATTCAGGTGATTATACACTAATAATAATATAGTTATACAAATAGATCTTCCAAAATATTACATACTGGACCTTCAAGACGTATGTTATTTTTGTCTTTAAGGACAAAATGCAACCAGACCACAAACAAATAAAACTTGGTGGATTTCACTAAATCTCAAATCTCACTTTGTTCCCAAATTAAATTAAACTTTTAATGAAATTTAAATGGCATTCAGATTAGTCATCAACAGCTCCTGAAACCTAGCTTTAATGTGTGTTACCCACTGCAGCCCCGGCTCTCAGCCAGTGTGACAACCGTTTCCCCTCCCTGTGTGAGTCTAAGCCATTATCTCCCAGTGTGTTTGAAGAGAGCAGACCGGTGCTCTTCCCAAAGCCCCAGATGAAAGGTTTTGGCCTGAGGCCCCAAATACCAGCAGCCCCTGTGAACTGCTGGGTGACTGTGGCGTTGGAGGGGTGTAATTTCTGCAAAGCAGCAACATTCAGGCCCAGAGAGGCGAGCCGAGCTTGGTCCAGAAAGACGACATGAAAGAGGAAGAGATGACTGTGTGTGTTTATGTTTGCGTGGTTTGACTGACGAGCCAAGCAGCTGATGATGTCAGTATTGTGCAGTCACACAGTGTCATTAGCAGAGACTCTTCATTGGAAGGATGGTTAGTCACAAAAGGTTTGTGTCTGTGTGAGAGAGTGTGGTTTGAGTGAGACTGAAATGATTAGAGAGGAAGGCTTCAATAAAAGACCGACAGGAGAGTGAAGTGCAGGGCTCAGGGTGACAGTTTCCAGCTTGATTAAAAAGAAAAAGATTAAAATGAGCTGTAATAACGAATAAACACTACAATTTCCCATCTTTTTGTTACTCACTGATGTAAGTTTAGCACCGACCAAACATACAAAACACCAAATAAGGGTGTAGTTATGATCTTTACTATGTAAATACCACTCATCACCTGTCAAATCAACAGTTTCCAACATCTATTTGCACAGAAATAACATAGGATTTCGCCTTTTTTAGACGACACCCCTTGAGACGTAGTCTATGTTGGTACATACCTGATCTGAAATAGAAGTTGTTTTCCAGGAGTGGATCCTTCCTGTTCAAACCCGCTACGGTGCCTCCACTTTCCTGTCTCCTTTGGCCCAGTGCCCATGTCCATCCTTGGCCAGCTGTCATACCAGGAAACCAAACAAAGTGAAGCCTGGCACGCAGCTGATGGAGGTGCAGTCAGTTGGACTAAATTCCTCATTCTTTCCAAGACAACTCTGGGAGATGTTAAGCAATTTATGTACACAGAAAATATTAGTATTTGCTTTAGACATTTTGGGTTTTGGTTTGGAGAACATTTACTAACACTTCAAACTTGGGTAATAAAGACGTTTCCGAGAAAGAGAATCAGAAGTGTTTTATAGACTGAATGCTGTAGAAAATGATTATATGTTACAGGCATTTGGTTTTATACGCATCACTTCCTTTCACCAATCTTAAGACAACTTTCCTTGTCCATGATTTTCTTCTCCATTTTTTCCCCGTAGTATATAATCCTGACACATTTAAACATCTTTAGACCTGCAATACTGCAACATAATGTTTTATCATTGTATTTAGGGGTGTTTCTGTTTCTTACCAGGTGTAGTAAAAGCAGCACTTAATCTCAAAATGCTGAACATATATACATTTAGGACATTATTGTATTCCATTTCAAATAATAGTTGATCAAATCCAGAGAAAATGTGACTCTAATGTCCATGAAAAGATTTTATCTGATGTTTACAGTAATAGTACCAGTAAAATTTTTCAAATAACTCACTCAGCAGCTCTATACACTGAAAAGTGTGTTTTAAAGCACACGTTGGTCTTTTTGGTCAAGCTGCTGTTTCCATGGTAAATAATCAACTTTCGAGCATCTGAAAGAGAGTTTTCTATGATAATTATTTGTATGTTTAAGTGTTGTCTGTAACAAAATAATAAATTGGAAAAGGATGAGAATCCAACCATTAAAACTGTAATTAGTGTAATTTAAAGGAGCAGTATATAAAAACAAAACAATGATCCCTCCACTGAATACTAAACCATAAAAGAAAAGCTGTGCAGAGAAAGGACAATAGGAGGAAGACAAGATGGAGATTTGGTGGAGACACAGAGGAGAAAGCTGTCATTAGGTCCTCAACACTTTAACTGCCAGCAACTCCAGAGGGAAAAACAGCTGGTCTGTTGAAGAGTGCTGATGGCAACTCGATGAGATCATCTCACAACTGTTGTCTTACGTGATAATTAGCTGGTATTTACTAATTGAGCACAAAAAAAGTGACATAATCTGGTGATACAACAGCCATTTTCCTCAAATAGTACCGTTGTGCTAAAACACTGCACAAACATTCATCCACTAACGTTAGAACGAGGTTTCTCCATAGTTTAACCTTCACAGTGTCACAGTATAAATGTGTTTTCTTATGATGGAGGGGTTGAAACCCTACAGAGGGATTTCACCACTTTAGTGTGACCTTTACAGGCTGTAATGAGACTGAGCAGGGGACTGAGAAGGGGACTCCTCCGGTGGAGATACCTTTGGAAGATTGTGTAGTCGTAAAAAAGAGATTAGGCCCCTGGGGTGTTTAAATGCTAAACAGGCGAAACGACCCTCAGTGCTTTCGGCCTTTTGATCTTCCACCTTTTTAAATGGAAAACAGCTCCAATTAATTCAGCAATACGAATAATAATATAAGCTAAATATTCCATCCAGTGATATATATGTAGAAGTACAGACGACTGTGGTACTATTCAAACCATTTAGAGACGATAGAAAAAAATGTCTGTTTTTAAATTCTTTATTTATTCTTGATTTTAAGATACAAAGGTCAAACATAAAGGAATCCTCTTAGAAACACAACACCGGAATAAAAAAAATTTCATATCCAGTTTAAATTCTATGAGGTCAACAGTCAGTATAGCAAGAAATGAACTTATATAATACCATAAAAACACATCAATGTCATCATTTTTTTGATCAATCATAGAAAACCTGAATAGCGGGGAAACAAGATATCTACAATACTTTGAATGTTGATGAATACCTAGTAAAAAAATGAAGCTATGCCACCAATAAATTCAAATTGGTTCAACTTAAACTGAATAACACTAGTCAATAAAATGCATGCAGACATGGAAAGCAAGGGTGAGTGATCATGGAATCGTCTGCAACAATAATAAATATTGTACAGTGTTTGACAACAACATCTACCCTCGACCTCTCAGTGGCACTGCTATCCCCTCGTGGATTTTTAAAGACCTTGAATTAATATTCATTGTTATCAAAACTAACACAGTATAATATTGCACAAGCCCATAATTCATAATTCATGGGGTGTAAAGGTTTAGAATACTGTAATGGGGGCAGCAGAAGCAGATATGGCGGGTCGTGTCACATGTCCAGTGGAACCGTAAAAATCAGTTTTAATTTGGTTTCTCTTTTACAGTCTTATCAGCGGGGCCTCAGCTTTCTACTGGAGGCATAATGTTGGACCCTAAAAAGAACATTAACATTAACACTACTAATACGGACAGCCCTCAGTACAAAAGTACTGTATATATTCATGTCACATGTTAACACTAAACAATCCAGACTTTCAAAGCTCGCTTTAATCCAACAAAGAAACGGAACTGTGAGTATATTTTATTTTATTTCTCTCTTTTTTTTTTTTTTACATGTAGCAATTAATATGTTTACTGTTTGTTCTTCAAAGCACAAAACTGTTGTTTTTTTTGGTTTTTTTGGATATTTCAAATGTCAAAACACAAAACATCAAAGTGCCATAAAAAAGTTAAACTATGTGAACACAACTAGAAGCGCAGCCGAGTGAGTGAATTAGTAGCGTTCAGTAGCATTTACTGTATATTAGGAGCAGATCTGCTTTGACCTGAGACAATAACATCCTTCATAAATGTTTAACTTGCAGCCTCTACATTATTGTTAGTTTCTCAGTTTATGATGCTAACCAATTAGTAATGCAATTATTGGATTATTATCTATCTAATACTGTCATTCTAATCATTCCAAGAATCCAGTAAGAGATTGATTTGAAGTGGAAGTGTCCAGCTGTGTAGTGGTTGTGAGATTAACAGACTCAACACATGCTTCTTTCCAGAATCATTCCACTTCAAAACAGGCTGTTAAATATGAGACTAATAACCCATAAACTGACTATAAATGTGGCATTTTTTTACTAAACCAAAATTTGATACTGCTTGCTGTAGCAGCCAATAACATATGAACACTGCAAAAAACTGTCAAATGTTAAAACATGTAATCAAACGACAGAGAGAGGTGTAATCATTTTCTGGATGAAAAATGTTAAGACTTGAGTTCTTGTGTAAGATGTCATTTTTTTGGCTGAACATGTCACAACCTTTCTTGACAGCAGGTTGTGTAAATCTTACTCAGCGGCTATTATTCATTTCCACAAACGCAATAAAGTGTCTCTTCTCTTTTACTCAACAATGATGTCAAACTCCTTTTGTCCTTTGTTTATAACATCCTGTCTGTCAATGAGGGTGTATCTTCTGGCTTTGAGATCACATCTGTTTGGCTGCTATAGTGACTGACTTGATGGTTTATTGACTGATTATGTACCACCTTGACAGAGACTTAGTGTGTATTTGATTAATTTTTCAATCCGAGTCAGTACACCATATACTTTATTTTTCAAAAGAAACCCACAGAAACAAAAATCTGAGGGTGTGTTGGCACAAGATGAGTTGATGACTTTACACTGATTTGGCCTGAAGCCTCAAAATGAGGCTGTGGCCTCAAACAGAAATAGATAGAGCTTGGTAAACGTTTGAATATGCTTTTGTACACATCTTCAGCAAAAATGAGAATTTGTGTAAATAGTGGGTTGTTCGCTCTTCTGTTATTGGCTGCTACACGTATATTTCTTACCAGGGTAAATAATATGTTTACACCTTGGATGTTAACCCTCTAAAGCAGTTCAAACTAATGAACTGAGGATTTTACTGTCCAAACCAAAAATACTAGGAATATTGAAGAACACATAGTGGGACACCTTGAGATTGTGAGTCTCTTATTTATATGACCAAAATATGGCAAATTTGCTTGTAAATTGGTTTTAAACTTTGGTCTTACTTGCTACTTTTCCCACTAAAGAGCAAGAAGCCGGTTTCTACCAGACTTATAAGACATTAATCAGATGGGCAGATCCACTTTTTATTAAAGAAAAATAGTCAACTATAAATGTCAATCAGAGGTGTGTGCGTGTGTGTGTTTGTGTGCAAGCCGCTAAGTGGAGCTTATGTACATCACCAGCCGTGGGTCTTGGAGGTTCAATGTTCCAGGTAGAAGTGATCTAGGATCAGAGTCTAGGCAGCACCGACTGATACAGCAGCAGTCCTGTTACCCCTGACCACTGTCAAAGGGATGAAAGGGTCCACCTTTAATTTACCAGGTAGGTGGGATAAAGATCTGACCCCAACTCTGCTCAGTAACAAAGAAGACATACATTTGTTTCTTGAAATGAAAACAGATTTGGTTCAGTTGGAAAAGATGAGTGATCAATTCAGGAAACGAACAAAGAGGGGGTTCTGTGAGCTAAACTCACTAGGGCCCTGATGACAGTGGTTACGGGTAACATCTCTCACCTCCAACCAGCCAGGGTTGGGGTGGTGGTGTGCTACTCTGGTGTTTGCTGCCCCCTAGGGCTGAGAGCAAGGCAGTGCAGGTGTGGCTCAGGAGGGACAAGGGAGGGAGGAAGGGGGGAGGAGGGGAGGCAGGGAGGAGGTAGAGAAAGGAGGAAGAGGGGGGACGCGGTTCCAGGGCACCACTACTCGTCACAGCCAAGAAGCTCGATTCGCAGGGTGATACGTTCATGCCATTCCCATGGTAGGATGCGGAGATATCGGCCGTAGAACGGGGGCTCAAAGATGTTCTTTTTGTGAACGTTGTTGTCGCTGTTGCCTGGGAATATCTGGACAGAGAATAGTAGCCAATCAAAATAAGAAATATCATAGCTGCTGTTAGTTAGTTTTAATCCAGATACCAAAAGATTTTTATCCTGCTTGTTTTTTTAACGATATATATATTATAAACTGAACTGCATGTTTAATCGCTTAAATCGGATAAAACTGTGAGTGTTCCACATCCTTAATTTAACTTAATTTGGGTGTACTTTGATGCACATCTGGCAGGTAAATAGATTTTTGGATGCATTATGAATGAGGGCCTACAGAAAACTAACCAAATACAGTGTCGACATAATTGATTCAAGGTTTGTAGACGAGTACGTCAGAGACAAGCTGAAGCCTTTTTAATGGTTTCCTTTACCACACCACACCACACCACAACAACCATCTTTCACAACCAGTTCTTTCTTCTAAATGTATTATTATTATTGTAATTAAGTACATATTTTATCATATGGTGTTTTAACTATCAGATGTATTTTGGTTTGTTTTATTGTCTCAATAATGTATTTTACATGCCCTCACATTACTATTTCCTCTATAAATTTCAAGTTTTTTACTCAACATTTGTGAGCGTTTTTCTGGCCACAGCTGGACTGACCTTGTCTGTCTTTGTGGTCTCGTCCTTCACGATGGTCCAGGACTGTCCGTCATCACTGTGAGCCACTTTGAAGGCTGTGACAAACTGGATGGAACCAAAGTCTTTGGCCCCCTGTGTAATGATTCCTGTGATCTTCTTGGGAGACAGCAGGTCCACCTGAGGACACAGAAACAGCCTCGCTTTGCAAACGATGCACAAACTAAGAAACAACAATGTGCAGTTCTGTCATGTCCTCTTCTCCTACCTGCAGCCACTCAGATCGGTTGTTGGTAGCGGCGGTCCAGGCGTTGGTCTTGCCCTGTTTGTCGAGCCGGGCGTAGTGAGGGAGCCACGTGAAGGGCTCGATGCCCCAGGTGCGGAAGGTGCTGGAGGCCGTTATCTGGCGATTAGACACCAACCGCGACTTCATGCCCATTGGTTCTGAACAACCTGAAGTGTGTGAATACACTGTGAAGGTGAGACCAGGAAGAGACAGAGGAAGAGACAGAAAAAAAAGAATGGAAAGAGAGAGAGAGAAGTATGATAGACAGGGGACGGACAGGAAGCAGCCCAGGCCAGCCAGTGATGTGAAGCAGTAAACAAACACCCAGAGATGATGGTGGGGAGGATGAAAGCAGATGCAGTGGACAGAGATAAAGCAAACAGTTGAATGAGAAATCATAAATGTGCAGCTTTAGGCTTAGCGGAGCTCACATAGTGCCTTCAACTATTTGTTTCTACAATCTGTGGTTCAAGTTGACCACATCCACATTACTGAGTTATACAGTAATCCTCTGCATAATCTCATACTTCCGTATCACTTCACATGTTCAGTATACATGCCAATCCTAAAGTAGAAACAAACTTGTAGAGCTCAGTGTACAGGCTACAAAGGCTGTACCAGACTTGGTAATGGGTGTGGGTTAGTGAAGCAGCTGGGCATGCATGTCAGATGAACAGAGGGTGAAAGATGCATGAAAGAGTCTGTAAGCTTCACCTGTACTGCTGTCCATCATCATGTAACTGCATCTATGCATCATTTCTCATCCTGGTCATCATTTTACTCTTCAGTTGATCCACTCAATTTGAGTTTAAAATACAGACCAACAACTTTCAGGAAACAACCGGTCAGTTTTAAAATGGGTGCTTTGCATGAATGCAAATGTACTGTTCAAGTGTTTCTCTATGTTTTAAAAAAAAAGGCTAAAACTCATGTATGCTGGCTGTGATCTATAACCAGACTGACAGGTGACTCCAAAACAAAAACATGCTGCTTATATAGCAATTTTGGAAGCATGCAGAAACTGGGATGCACGACTGATTGGAGAAGAACAGACACTGATCTGATAAATCAAGAAGCAGAAGAATATTCAACAGTGTAATGAGGCCAGCGAGTTCCAAAGAACCACACTGGCTTTAGATAAAGAGAACAGCAACATGAACAGTAATTGGTTGCAATACATTTGCCTGCTGGGGTGACAATTTTGAGATGACGAATATGACCAATGCTGTAGTAATAAATATCTGAATCATAAGCATCTAATGTGCAGTATGCTTGCCAGTATTACTATAGTAAAATATGGTTTTGATAAAATACACATCTGTGTTCAAAGTTATAACGTAGTGCAATCCTCTGAGTAACATTCTTTGCAATATGATAAAACTAGGGCTGAAAACAATTAATCAGCAAACACAGGAGCAAAACGCTGGTTAAAAAAACAGAAGACTATTGGATAACAATTTTCCCACCCTTTTTCCAGCCTGTTTAAAAGATTTAAGATGTGAACAACTAGCTTCAGTAACTAACAAACATCAGTAGACTGAATATCAGCAGTGTGTGGATGTGTGTTGTAGGTTTTCTGTGTGAGTTTACCATTGAGCTCACAGCCCACCAGCTCCATGCGCAGGGTGCAGGCCTTGCGACACACCACAGGGATAATGCGGATGTACTGGGCAATGATTGGGGGGTCAAACAGGTTGGTCTTAGTGCCATCATTGTCCACATTTCCAACAAATACCTACAAAGAAAGGAAGAGTTAACAAACAAACATACAAAGTGCACTGTTAATTATTATTTTTGTTCCACAGATGAGGGATACTGATAATTGATATTTAGTGGCAGTTCTTAAGTAGATTTATGTACGTATTCTAAATATATATCAAATAATATAAAACATATGAAAAGCACTCCCTGCAGAATTTCAAGTAAACTTGATCTCTATTTGTAAAACATAAAAATATATCTTTTTTATTTTATATTATAAAAATTCCTGTTAAAGTGTAAAACTACCATTAACATAACTTCTTTCTGTTTCACAGCTGTTGTTGGTAAGAGTCACAGCAAATTTACAGTAAACGTTACCAGATTTGTTTGTGTTGTGTGTGCTGTATAATTTGTTTATGTTTGTCACAGCTCCCTCTAGTGGTTCTTTTCTATCTAAACATAATGATGCCTTATGTGCATTTATTTAGGGGGCAATGAATCAGTTTAAAAACATATGGACTAATAGTGCACTGATTTTTGCTGAGTTGTGTTGCGTCTCCTTACACGGTCCTTCCTCTCTCCCTCTGTTCTGTACATGGTGTATGTCTTGCCATCCAGGCTGGAGGCCACCTTGAAGGCCTTGATGAACTCGGCTGTTCCTATGCGACTGGCACCCTGCGTCACAATACCTGTAAAGCGCATCTTTCTTTGCATGTTGATCTGAAATTGTGCAAAAAGCAAACAGTAAATTAAGTTTGTTTTATATGCAAAAGTTCAACTAAAGACTCAAGTGACATAAAATGAAGGCAGGCAATATGGCAATGGAAAATTGTTAAAAAACAAAACAAAAACAAAAGTAAAAAGGTGTTGAGCCACAGCTTCTTTATTTATGAAGCTGTCTATAAATGTATCAATAAGGCAAGTTTGATATTTTAATATATGAGTTCTAATGGCAGAAAAAAGGCCTTGTAGATCTACAAAAAACACGAGTTAGAATAAATACATAAATTGTTCCATCTATGCATTACACACATATAGTATCAGTCTACTGAATATCAATATATCTACATTGTACCGTGTCCCTGTTCCCACCTCTATCCATGGGTTCTTGTCATGTGCAGCAGCGCTCCAGGCATTAACCAGTCCCTTGTTGTGAAGGCGGGAAAGCTCAGGTCCCCAGCGTTGCAGCCCCAGCATGCTGTAACGGACTGATGAGGCTGAGATCTGGGACTCAGCGATGCCCCCACCCTCCATGCCGAGCAGAGAAATACAGCCTGTAGAGGAGAGATTGGGGGCAGATTCAGACAGTATTTCCCCCCTGTGGTCCTAATGCAAATTTTGCACACAGTAACCTTTCAGAAGCCCCATTAAAGGTTTATGTAGCTAAATACTCACATTTCTTCAGAAAGAAAAACTGGCTGGTTATTTTCCTAACCACATCTTGAAATTCTGCAACTATATGTACATTTAGAGAAGAATGGCGAGTGCACAATGACACTAATAGTTAAAAGAAAGAGAAATGTCTGTGTATATAGTCACATACTCAGAGAGGTAATCAAAGTCTAATACAGATTCCGCCAGAACTCTTACATGTGCTCTACCTTCATTAAGGATGCAGAGCTTTAAATCAGCTTAACTGAATAAAGTATTGATTTCTCATTAGGCAAGCTCTCTTGATCTTCTCTAAGTTGCCTATTGATCATCCTAAAATGCAGCAGTTTGGCTGTTTTCCCATCATCATTAAGGTCTTCCTTCAATTAATATATTCTATAACAATGGCAATAGTACACCATATGGATTCAGTGTGCCTATCTGTATACGTATGGGGTGTGTTTACTTCAATAAATGTGAATTTATTGAATTTGTGAAAACACACAGTATTTATATCCAGTAAAATTAGATGTATTTTCAGATTAAAGTAATGACATAGACATGTCAATGACAATAATTGATCACAGGATGTAATTTTTATCCATTCATCTAGGTGTGTTGACCGGTCAACTTACGCAGTTGGCAATGTTTGCCCACATAAGGGGATGGGCAGTGGCATTTGAAATCTCCATTCAGGTCCCTGCAGGTGCCCCCATTCTCGCATGGCTGGCCAGCACAGTCATTCACATCTACAGAGAGATAAGTAACACTGTCATTTACTGTAGTCAAACAGCTTACTGGTCAACTGTTATCAAGCTGTTTGAAAGCAGATCACAGTTAGTTGGAAGTGTGAGATCACATGTCATGCTTAAGAGACGGGGTTTGATATTTCTTCAACTACTTCACATTGAGGTTAGTTGAAGCCATGCCAACAGGACTGGAGCTAAAGCAAATAGAAGGCTAGGAAAGAGGAGCTTGTTTCTTGTCATTAGACAGTAAATGTAGCTATGATCAAGATATCTAGTATCAAAGAACCAACTGCACCAGGAGCTCATGTGGTCAGGATGTGGAGTAGATCACGGAAAGGTCCCAGGAGTAAATGTGTTTAGCTGGGTGTGTGTGAAGATGAGCTTTACAAAAAATACCAAATTTAATGATCAATGTTGCTTTCAAAGAAGAGTCAAGTTTCATTAAAGGGCCATTTCAGTGCAATGTCTGTTTAATTCCCATGTAATTCTTTGCATTGCCTCTTGGTGGTGCCACCATTTACACTTTCTGTCCAGCTCAAAAAGTCTGTGTTAGATGAGTCAGGAAAAGGAAAACGAATCAGCAGAATGTTACGGGAATCAACTCAAATTGCCTTCATCTCTCACCCACAAGAATTGTCAAGTGTGACTAAACCAGCTTTGAACATGCTCTATATTGACCACATACACAAGGAACAAGGTACAAATTTAGCTGGTTGTATAGATGACTGCACACCAAAAGGGGGATTTCAGTGAGTCTCTAGAGCTTTAATCCTCAGTGGTTGTCATTTTGGAGGAAAATGCACGCAAACAACCCAGGCACACTGATGTTCTGTTTCTATCCAACAAACACACACATGGCAGCATCTCCCTACCCACATGCTCTCTCTCCATAAATAGCTCCGTGTCCAAACATTCATTTTCACACAGTCACAGGAGGAATACAGTCATTTTGAAATGTACATCCACAAACTCGGGATAATGAGGTCCACACAGTCATTACACTTCTGGAGCTTATACAAAATCACATAAAACAGATTTCTAGCAGCAGCAGGTGAATATTTTAAACATCAAGCTCTCTACACTTAGTAAATTGTCAATGGGTAGAAGCTACCTCTGTCTGTATCCAGATTTGCTGATATATTAATTATATATATATATATATCATAATATATCATAATATTCAGGTTTTAAGAATTTATGAGAGGCATTTTTAAGGATACAGTAAATTTAGTATAACTTTTTAAGTATTCTAAATTAGCAAACATACTAAGAGTAAAATAATAATACTATCAGACTATAGCAAAGGCCGAATGTGTAGTACCCATTTGCTTAGGCCATTTTGGATTAAGACTTGTTCCTAACTAACTTAACTGTATTTGGTTATTTACCACATCAACTAGAAAAGATCAAGGGTTACTAAAATAATAATAATAATTACACCCACCTACAACCCAGAGACCTATATCAGTAATTGAGGACAGACTGACGGAAACTCTGGGCCTGACGTGCGTCAGCTGATGGCTTTCTTTCCAGTAAGAGGATTGGGCACCAGTAGGACCACACAACCTGGTCTGCTCCATGGTCTAATCCATTTATGTGACAACCAGAGGGGGGGTCAGCTGAGGGAAAAACCTGAGGAGCCCAAAGCATCCCATAGACGTGGTTGCACATGACCGCAAACACGTCTAGGTTTGTTTATTACTAGGTCCACACATGCCTGAAATGTATACACTCATGGCGCTCTGATTTGTAACTCCAAAATATCAACCAAGGAAAACAATAATGATATATAATCAGCTGTTTCATATTTAGCACTATCCTCTATCAGCACACTGCATATAGATTTTGGGGGTGGACCTTGGGCAAGACAGACCAACACTCAATGGACTGTATCCAAAAATCCCTATAGCCTATAAGGGAAACAGCACACACATCACAATATTTAAAAACGTCAATATCTGTCCCAGCATGAAGCGAAAACCAATACAAATCTCATGCAGCTTATTTGAAACCTGACCCTGATCGATACAAAGCCAAGGTCAGCTGGCAGTATATGTGGTGATCAGCAAAGCTATCTACGTCCAGGATCTGTGCTGTAGCCAGCAGGATTAAGGCCTAAAAAAAAAAAAAAAGGTGAGAGCCTGCGTCTTGACGGCTCAAACATGCTTTTATGTTGCTATGTGAAAAGAGGGGATGGTGTTCTCTGTATCTCAGTGTGAGGCCTCAGTAATCATCGAGTTTTGAAAGTTAACCATCTGTAATGTTTATACATATAAAACATACAGTAACTGTGTGAGGAGTGAAACTAAGAAAAGTTATCTACCAACAAATCGTCCGATACTGTATTGAAGAACTAACTCTATGGTGTAATGGTTATGAATATCAACCTTCCACCTTTTACACTGTTGCAGAGGAAAAGTTAATGTTTGCTTCCAAGAATAATAACAACATGAAATAAGAAAATAACATACTTTTAATCACCACTCTCAACGTTGCCGTGGTACAGCAACCAAGGGGGGTACTCTGGAGGCATTATGGTCACCAGATAAAACCACAATGACATTATTAAATTAAAAAAAGGCTTCCAGATGTGCAATTTGATGTGTACTGTATTGACTGGCTGCAGTACACTAGGGAGCGCCAGTAGCACCCAAAATAGCTTTGAATCGGATCTCTGCCAGGGTGTCAGTCTCTGCTGGAGAGATGCAGAAAACATCTGATGTCATAAAGTATATTTACAGAGCATATTATTTAAAGCTGTGTTTCTAAGTGCTCTCTGGATTATAGATCAAGGCATGGTGACATCAGATCCTGTGCACTGGTAAGTGATAGCTGTGGTGCTTAAAACACTACATTGTCTGCAACATTATAAATATTGATAATATTGTCTTTCTGCAGTTTGAACTTCACATTTATTATCATAAGATCAACTCCCCTTGATTCAGACTGTATATTTGCTGCAGTATAGATGGACATCTCTTTTTTTTTTTTTTTTTTTTTTTTAAACTTAAGAACATATTAGTCAGAGAAATAAAGACTCATCAAACTGACAGACTTATGACTATATCCTTGTGGCTTAAAGGTCCAGTGTTCAACATGACGAACTCCATGGAAAGCAACCTGCAGCGTCAGATGAAAAAGGCTCATTGTGAAGTAACAAAAACACAACAATTTGTATTTATAGGTGATTATACACCAATGATAACGCAGTTATGGATATTATATTCTATTTCTTCCACTAGATCCTCCGTGATGTTACACACTGGACCTTTTGAGTGAGTCTTGGAAGTTCCCAACGATGGATTGAACATATAGAGTTATTGAATGCCACATTATGGTTACATATTTACACAAACGTGGTTATAGTTTCTGAAGGATCTCTAGCAAGGTACTCCACCTCCAACTGCTTAAAGTTCAACAGAAGAGGAGTTACAGATGCAAATAAAAAAGGAATACTTGCTCAGCAACCCTATTTTAAATCAATCAATCGTATCAATTGTAACATAATTTCAGTTTCCACAGTTGAAAACTGTAGAGCTCTGTCATATCAGCAGTATTGATATATAGGAAATCACCCACTGTAGTTGATTGTTATTACAGCCCTTATAAGTCTGTTGGTGTTTTCATGTTGATGTTTACGTGTAAAGGTTCAGCCTCACCAGTCACAACACCTAACAGCTGCTTCTGTTGCTTAAGATCATGGTGTGATTCCCAGCTTTGGGGATCTAATGGGACAATCTAGCTTGTTTAACGCAGACAATAGTAAACCAGGAAATGCACGCAAGGCTTAGTCTGGTCCATGACAGCACTAAGACACGCACATATATTATACATACACACACCCTGTACTCCACAGGGGGCATGGAGCCCAGTCTGCCCACATTACCACATCCTGGGAGGAGCTGCAAACTCTCCCAAAACAACTGAAAAAGCAGCACACACATACACACACCCCCTTTGGTGACTTCCAAGAAGCAAAGCCTTAATCTGTTATGAGAATCTGAGCTTTAGAGACTCTTAGCAAGAAGAAGACTCCTTCTTCCCCTCACTGTTTCCATCCGTCTGTTTTGGCCCAAATCTCTCTCTCTCTCTCTCTCTCTCTCTCTCTCTCTCTCTCTCTCTCTCCCTCTCTCTCTCTCTGGGCATCTCCATACTTGAGTCCCCCATATGCATGCACACACAAACACACACACCTTCTCTGCAACCCATAAAGGCTTTCAGGCCAATTTGTTAGGACAGTCAGAAGTGCTGCAGTCAGACCTGAGTAGTGAGTGTGACATTGTCAGGAGGGCAGACTTAATTCACTGTTCCGCCTCCATGTTCACTTTTCCGCCCGGCAACAGTAGCAGCGCTGACGTTGCAAGCGCTCAGCGTGGACCGCCACTTTCTGTTGGCTAGGCTGGCACGAGGGATGAACCATGTGTGTATGTGTATGCTAAACAGTCTGTATATGAGATCATGAAGCTGTGTGTGGTTGTTCATGTGGGAAGAGCAGCACACACACGTGATTAAGCCTTTTTTCAGGAGAGATTTTCTTGCTCTCTTGATCTGTTTCTCAGAGGAATTTGAGTCCTTTAAAAAGGAGACATTTATTTAGCTATGAAATACACTGTAACTATATATTGGCAAAAAAAAACTGACAGTAGCCATTGAACAATAGGCAGATGTTATTGTTTCTCCATTCTTTTCTATTCTGAACTACTCCATCTTCCACTTTTTTACTGTTGCGTTTTTTCTATTTATAGATTTCTAGATGCAGTGGTTTGTGTGAGAACAACATATTCTACATCTAGCTCCAATTTGCTAATACCTATGTGCCAGGCTCTGTTCTCAGATAAAAAAAACAAAAAACAGTTTATCTGCCATTCACAGGCTCCTATACATCCTCACAGTTGGCTAGTGAAAGGACTGTGGTGACATTTCAGATTTTTTTTCACCAAAAATGTGTAATTTCAATGTGTGAAGTGAGTGTGAGGATGCTAGTTAAATGCTTAACTACACCGCGCCTCCTTGGGTTCACCACAGTCACAGAATTTCTATAGTCCGTCTCCTTCTTTTTTTCACACAAACCATAGGAGCTGGCTGCCATGAGCCTCACACTCCCACCCACACACACACACACGCACACACGCACACACATACACACACGCACGCACACACATACACACACATACGCGCACACACACGCACACACACAAATTAGAGAGCACTTAAACTGTCACAACACAGTCATCAGTAGCTGTGAATGGATGGGTACTTCCCTGATGTGGAAGTCCTCAGAGAAGGTTTCATAAACCAACATGGTCAAATAAATCCCCCTCATCATTATACTTGAGGCATTATCTAATTAGTGTAAATGCTTTCTCCGCAGAGGCTCTTAATCTGGCAGCTAAACTAAAAGTACCTGCCAAGGTACTTATGAATGTATGGATTCTGATGAGCTGTAATTTGTGGTTCTCAGGGGCAAAAAAAAAAAACACAGTAAACACTTGGCTATATTTTTTAAAGTTAAATGAGCTGTTTGCAGCATAAATATGGGCAGGGGAATGAAAGATTAAAATAGATGGTAACTTGTATAGTTTCACTGTGGTTTGAGGCATGAGGGAGTTGAACAACAAATCATAGAGAGAGAGAGAGAGAGAGAGAGAGAGAGAGAGAGAGAGAGAGAGAGAGAGAGAGAGAGAGATAGAGATAGAGATAGAGATAGAGATAGAGATAGATAGATAGATAGATGCTTTATTTATCACAAGGGAAATTTAAGAATCTTTTAGTATGAAAGGACATATTCCTGTCAGGGTGTGTGAACTGATAAAAAGGCTGTGTAACTAATGCTAAGATTATCTCACTGCCAGTTTTGCTGCCAGTCTTGACTCAGAAACAAGCAGAGATAGTGCTGAACTCAGCGGTTCCTAGTCTGTCAGTATGTGTGTATGTAAGTGCAATGTTTCGTGCGTGCGTGTGTGTTGCTGAATTCCTCAGCCTCCGCATGCAGCCAAGAGAACAGAGAGCACCTGGATTGAAGAAGGAAAAGAGACCAAAGCGCAAAACACAAAACACACAAGACATCTTTCTCTCTTCGACTCCCATTTCAACTGTTACCTTTTTGTGAAATTAAATCTGCCCCTTGGACACCTAGGATAAAAGGGTATACATGATCAAACACAAAATACAAACGGGCTTTTCTTAAAAGTCCCACTTGATTCCTGCTAAATTGCTGCTTTGTGGACACTTGGCCACTCTTATTCTGCCGCCTTCTCGCGCAAACAGTCACCATCTGTGTCTGTGCGCAGGGCTGGAGGCAGTTGGACGAGCGCAGCACATGTTCCCACCGTTGCTTCCCTCTCTGAGGCTGACCCTGCTTGAACCAACCTGGTCTGAGTGACGTGTGAATGAAGTTCCCATAAGGACGACAGATGTCTGTCTAGTGGCCAGCACTCACAGAGGCTGTCTGCATGTTAAGTGTGTCAGGTTAGACAGATAAACAGGGACCTCATTAGACTTGCCAATTAGTTGTATGTGAATGTATATCTACAGTTGGTAAAAGAAGGATACTAGCATATCAGTAACACCTTCAATTTTTAAGACTTCTAATTTTGTGCTGCTATAGCTGAAAGTGGTTAGGATGTACTGTAGCTATTAGATTAACAAAAAAAATGTAATTTATGTTTTCCAGAAATGATCAAGACAAATGATTGTGATTAATAATTGAGTTACAATACTTCGAATAATACTTTTAGCAAAAATTAATAAAAAGCGATGCTTTGTTGGTATAAGATGGCACCTAAGATATACCCACAGATCTTGACATTTTGCATCTTCTATACTTACTCAGAGTCATCTACAGTGGCACCTAAAGACCTGGAAAATGGCCTATCAAAATGTAAATAAATTTCCATCTGGCCATAACAAAAATATAACTTTGCATGGAACATGATATAAATATTCCAATATTAGCCACAACAACAAATTTATAACACAACTCTACAGGAAATACTGACAGTTTTGAATAGTTATTGATATTATCCCGATAAAGCTACTTGAAGAGGGAGAACAGACTTACTGTTCTGGCAGTGGACTCCCTCGAAGCCCGGTTGGCACTTGCAGACGTACTCACTGAAGACATCACCTCTGCGGGACTGACCGGTCACCTCGCAGATGGCGTCATTCTTGCATGGGTTGGGGTTGCAGGGCCCTTTTGGATGAGGAGAACAACACAAAAGAGGAAGGAGATGTGAGCCAAGTTTAACAGGGTGAGCAGTAATAAAGAGTTTTTTAAATGGCTGTCTATGTTTTAGAGCAGCAACAAATACTTTCATATCTGAAAGTAACATCAGAGCTGTAGCTTACCAGTCTCAGTCTCATTGCAGGTTTCTCCAGAGAAGCCATCAGGGCAGATACAGATGAACGGAGCTCCTGCTCCAGTCACACAGGTTCCACCATTAGTGCACACGTTCACCTCACAATAATCACCTGGAGAGAGAGGGAGGGGAGTGACAAGGTGACTACCACAGTACACAACAGCTTTTACATCAGCATGGGAGTCATTTCAAAAGGACACCTGAGATAGTAACAGCTGAGCTTCCAATAAAGTACTAGTAATAAAGCACCCTAGATTGTGTTTGTTTTAAGATTGAGGATTTCACTTTCATTGCTTTCAAAATACCAGAAAAGAAAAGCATGCTATAAAACTTTGTGAATCTGGTTTGAACTCTTCATTTCACATTCATAAATGCCTGACAGCTCACCATTTCCTGTCCAACATAAGATATTTCTAGGCCCATATATTTTAGGACAGGAAGAGGACGATCAGATACTGTGGCAGTTGTGATTTTTTAGTAGTTTTGGCATTATGCATGTTTATACTGTATTTAGTTCATTTTTGTTGCTTGTGCAGGTTTTAGCATTAAACCCAGTTTATATATATACACTCCAATTAATGTTTTCTGCTGGAAAGAGTAAAACATGTACTAGTATATCAGTTAAAACCTTGTTTTCAGACATTATTAAAGTCGTTCACTCCATTCCCTTGTTGTGCTGCCTGCTGCAGGTCGGATGTGATGGTCTGAACAGCTGAGTAAGCCATCACTGTGCTGTAAACACAACACAAACACTGGATGCTTCCACCAGCATCGCTGCTGTCTGGCCTGAACCTGACAATCTGGCAGTTCTCTGGGCACAAGGGAAATCATGTCAGCTCACAGTGGGTGGGAAAAAAGGAATCAAGAAGAGTGTAGTGGTTTTCCAAAGCATGAAGACAGAATGAGCTATGATTCAGCACAGATACAGCACAGATCTACTGAATTTGGCAGATGAGCCTTCTCTGTTAGAGCAACAAACTTTTGGAGCTCAATACCAAGCTATATAAGAGAGTGCTGTAGCTTTATGGATTTTAAATTCAAGACACAATCATGGCTAAACAAATTATGCATAATGCAAACACTTCATGTGTCTTAATGTTGTAAATTCTTGTTGGTGTTGCTGCTGATGTTGATGTTTTTCATGTATAGTGATTATGTCACCGTCAGAATAACAGGGCTGTTAAGAAAATTAACACTGTTATAGGACATGGACATATATATATATATATATATAATATATATATATATATATATATATATATATACACACACACACACACACACACACACACACACACACACACTATATATAATTCTTATTTTATAACTATTTAATTTCCGCCCTGTTATTCTGTTTCCTGACTAAAGATGTAAATCAGCTTATAGCTACTATAACTCTGTCCTCGTCCAATAAAGAAACAAACAAACCTAAATGAATTAATCAAATTTACAGTAGATAGTTTTATTCCAAAAGGAGATTTCTGCCCTTCAGAAACTATGAAACATTGCTTACAAAATAATGAAGGGCAAATGGAAATGAAGTGTGATACATGACTGAGGTTCCTGACAAAATGACAAAAGTTTAGCATCTAGTATATACAAGGTATCACACAATGAACCAGTAATTACATTTTTCTCAATATAGACACAGCATAAAGCAGTTTGGAAGTTAACCTTTCAATTATCTCCTGTTTTGACACTTAGAATATGGAGGAAGTAAATAATTGGGAGTTTTTTAACACATGTGATGACAGGGAGGACATTCCTAAGTTAAGACTTATCATTTGGATAATTGTTTAGGAAACTGAGGTTGGACCCCAAGTGTGAAATTGGTGGTTTCAGTGCCATGGTGTCTTCCATACAGGCTAAAAAGCAGCTCTGACCCCGGTTTTTCAGTGTTTCAGCAGGGTACCTCTTCCCACCTCAAACAAAGCAGGCTCCTGGGAGTAGATAAATATATATTTCTTTATACTTCTACAGTAAAGGAAAGTGGCGTTCTAGTCCCACTGAGGGTATAATTCACAGAGGCCACAAGGCCAGGCTGAAAATGGCATTCTGAAGAGAATCCTAACTTCCTGTGCAGCGCTCCATATTCTCTCCATATTCTAACCCCACACTACACACACACACACTACACACACACGCACGCACGCACACTACACACACTTCTTTTCTCATTCTTCTAAACACTCAAGGATGAGAGCACTATGAGTAGTTTATTCCGTGTGAACTCTGGGCAACAGCGGAGCATTGTGGAGAAACTAACTAGCTGCTCTTCAGGAATAAAGAATTTAAAAAGTAAATTATACTACATGAAGATGCTGTAGTTTGTGGATTGCACTTCTTTATGATATACAAAATCTGGACCACATTTATTATTCATTAGCAATTGAGGATATGTGGGGTACTGTACATTTGAGTCATATTCACTGAGACAGAAGGGAGATCCACTTTGCCAGCATCCTGTTTGGCTGTTTATCAACTGGACTGCACTTCCCATGGATGTCAAGTTTTATCAGTGCTGTATCCAGTGTCATGGCCTTCAAGTGCTTTCACGTCCCGTGGGACTTTTCTGCAACAGGCTGGGCTGGCACCGGCAACACATCCTTATCCAAAAGCTGCTGCCTGTTTATCTTTGGAAAGGAACACAACCTCCCTTCCTGCATTGGCAGACAGTTCATTTCAGGAAACCCCCTTAGAGTTGAGAAATAACAATGTTGAATAAATGACCTTCCAAGAATATTTTAATGGAACAATCTGACTGATGAAATTCATTTAACTGTCTCTGTAAATGCTTGTGGTCTGACTAAGGGATAATTTAGCCGGGAGCTTGCCTGGGTTTATTGAGGAAATGAAATTTTCAATGTATCAGTCAAGGTGGTCAGCCGAGAGACAGTGGCCAAACCACTAGAGCCTCCTTGAAAATTCCCAAAGTGATGCCACTGTCTGTGAAAACCACGTCTGTTTTTTTACCTCATACACAGTATATTTGAAATACAAATCAGATTTAAACAGGTTTTTCTTTGCACAAAACACCTTTGAATTCAACAAATTAAAGAAAATATGCAATTATGTGTTATGTGGGACCACACACACACACACACACACACACACACACACACACACACACACAGACACACAGACACACACAGACACTGTAAGCTCTGCTGCCATTTCAGAGGAAACCAGAGACTTTCATTATCTGCTGAGAAGCATGAGTTTCTAATACAAGAGTAATATGACTGGTTCAGTTTCAGTTTAGCTTATTGAGAAATCATTGCATAAGAAAACAATTCAAACCGGCAAACCAGAGGGTCTGGCCGGTCAAATAAAAAAACAAGAAGACATATTTCCTTCCTTACTTCTAGTTATATCTTGAGAATTTTGTTTTGTACTTGGGGGGTTTTGAGAAGTTTGCCTGTGAGATTTCTGCCTCAACCCAAATACAGAATGAATTGTGGTGTTCACTGCATTAAAAAAAACACATTTTTAGTGATACTCTCCAGAATCTCTGTCTCTGTTACTCAGTTTTCAGTGGAACTGTTTTCCACTCAAGACACAGTCCTCATGAAAACTGTTGACAGAACCATACATCTTGCTGTTGAATTTTCCAAATACCCGTTTGTCCAGAGGTGTCACTGATCTCTAAAGTAACACTCATCAGCCTGCATATGCCTGAAATATGAAAACAAGCCTGAACAAGTTAATGTTGTCTTCATATTTTAATAAATGTGGGTGTGGACATCTGAACTCCAAAGCATTGCAACAAATTGTAATAACTAATAAATAAAGCAACATTTAATAATGCAGTAAAAACACATTTAATACATTTGTCAAAATGACACCAGTGCCAAAAGCACCCAACACTGTGCCCTACTTTGTCCTAACCACATTGACAGATTAGGAAGGTATGTGGAGTTATGTTTGGCAGGACAAGCCATTTCCACAGGGCATTGTGCTTTTCTCTCTCCTTATGAGTCATGTCTGTGCCTTTCCCATGATGCCTCCGACCAAGAATGAGCGTCAAATACCAGACCAAAAACACAGAGCAGTTAGAGTGAGAATCACATGATCCAGTCCCTAATATGTGATTCGGCAAAAGCTTGAGCCTCAGATTTAAGGACCCAGTTGGGGTCATGTCAGTGTATGTAGCAATATTTTTTATGCAAAGCAAAAGATATCAAACATCTTAAAAGAAAATCAGTGTTTCTGATCTGAGTTTAGGTATTTTAGGATTTCATTTCAACAGTTAACAGTTAACTGATAACAACAACTAATTGACATGCATACAATTGTTGTACTATTTTTGCCTCTATACATCTCGCTATACACCACTTGCTACTTGGCTAAGAAAGCTTTCAAAAAAACTGCCTTGAGTCTTAAATGGTTACAGCGACTGGTGTTTAGCTGCAGGTGGCTGGGTTTGGCATGAATGACCATGACAAGTCCTGTGTTTACTTCATGGAAACAAATGAGCAGGCAGCACAACACATGGCGCACATGTTTCCTGTAGGAGCTTTACAGAAGAAGGAGTCGGTACAAGATGAATGGATGCCTCTGAGCGGATCAACCAGCCATCTAAGTCAACACACTTGCACTCAGACTATATTAGAGCCCAGGTGAAAAGACAAAAAAGAAACAAGGCTAAGCAGATGTCACAACAACAGAGTTAAACACCTCAGGACTGAATGGTCAAACCCGCTCTAGGAAGTTATTTAGGGGCTCTGCGCCATGACAGGGAAGACCTTTAAAGAGTGGGGGTGGACTCTTTAAGGACACACTGCAGCCCATTTCAGAGAAGCAGCGACTGGTTACAGAAATAAAATAGCACTTTGGATAAAACTGATTTAAGTGAGCAGACGAGCCTTAATCAGTTTGATGCAGAACAAAATAACTTCTGGGCTCAGCTGTGTTTTAGAGAAGTTTCACTCACACAAGTATGCCATTAGGAAAATGCAGTGTGCAGCAATGGGCAAGAATCTCTTTCATCTGAATTTATCTTGAGTTATCAAAGATGATGTGGAAAAAATCAGATATATACAAAAAATAATACATTTAGACAATTAGCTTAAAAAGTCAATGTTTTAATGTTTTCCACAAATCTGCTCCATACCTGATGGCTGTGCAGCGGCTGATAAATGCATGCATATGTGTGTATGTGTGTGTGTGTGCGTGTGGTTACGTCAGTGCTCATGTCGGATGTGTCCCGAGGCCTGAAAACAGTAAACGCTCTGCCCTCTGCTCTGTCACGCACACACTGGCATTCTGTAGCATATAGGCTAGCAGGCAAGTGTGGGGACTCAGTGTTCCAGAAAGTCAATGTGAAACGCCTGCGTGTCACTCACTCACACACACAGACACACACAGACACACACAGACACACACAGACACACAGACACACACACACACACACACACACACACACACACAGTCCTTGTTAAAACTGTTAAGGATGTGCTGAAGCATAATAAGAAGACTTGAGACCTAGAAGAGTGCTCATCTAGTCTGATTACCGGCCACTGCCAAACTGCACTATGAGAGCTACAGACAGAAGGTAACCTGGACACAGGGAGTAGATTTATCGAGGCCAAGGAAGCCTAAAATAAGTCTTTTCAATATTAAGATCAGCAGGACTCCAGCTGCAGGTGAGCTTTCTGTAATCTGCACGTGCTACGCCAGAGCAACACAGCCATCTGCTGCTGTTCCAAAAAAAAAAAAAAAAAAAAACTAGGGACAGCCACTAAAAATACACACACGTGTCAAGCACCAATAACAAAACAACAAGCCTTTCTCTGAAGTACTGTAACTGTAATAGATCCTGAAATAGTAACACAGCAGCAGTTTAAACTGAATGGACCAACCTATATAGCAATATTGCCACTAAGTTGTCATTTTCTCGTTTGAACATCTTATGAACATAAAAGGTTTTGTGTTAACATTTCTTCTTCTTGTGGATTAAAGTACCACCTATTTAGTCATTGGCTCAGTGTTCAGCTCACATGACAGCATGTAAAATATTTAACATGGCAGATTGGAAAGTAGGGCGACAGACACTAATAAAGTGGCCCAAATTAGAAGACACTCCATATTGTAATGAAACATTGATTAAGGAAGCTATTCAAAATTCAAATTGGAAGAAAAAGAGCCTGAGAGTCGTGTCCTGTGGGATTTGGTGGGAAAAGTAATAATAAAGTCATCAGTGCTGAAGAGTACAGCAGCCTGAAGGGAAGACCCAATACAGGCAGATGGTAAGAGCGAGATTTGACTATAGAACACACACACACACACACACACACACACACACACACACACACACACACACACACACACACACACACACACACACACACACACACACACACACACACACACACAGCTCATAGGGCTGCAACGAACTATTATATCATTATCTATTAGTCTGCAGATAATTGTTCTGTCTATTACATGACAGAAAATAGTGAAAAATACACATTATAACTTCCCAGAGCACAACGTGACTTATTCAGACGTCCTGCTCCAACCAACAGTCCAAAAGTCAAAGATATTCAGTTTACTGACACACATGACAAAGGGCAACATGACATCCTCACATTTATAACCTTGTACTGTATAAGCTTGGACTTCTTGCTTGAGAAATGACTGAAACAATTAATTTGTTATCAGAATAGTTGAAAAATAATTTTCTGACAAGTGATTAATCCACTCTTTGGTTCGGTTGCATGAGGTTAGGATGTCTGATAGATACTGTAAAAAGTATCAAATTATAAATCACTTTATGATCTGACAATTGCAGTGCAACTGGGGATACGAAACATCCATCACATTAGCAGGAAATTCAATTTCTGGTTAAGAAAGTCCAATAACTCCCTAATATAATGGCAATTAAAGCCTGTCTTACACCCACAAGTACATTTGCAGCAATTTCGACTGAAAAGTGTTCATATGCACCTGCCTACATCCACAAATTATACACATACACTCACTCCTGCCACACCATTGGCCCGGCGTCAGGCTATATTTAGCTCTGGTTCACTCAGTTGCCCTAAGTGGTCTTGTTGTGAGAAAAGACTGCCTCAGCCCTGACACAGAACACCATTTTCCACTTCTCTCCCCTCAGCAGCAGACTGATAGGACAAGTGAGAAACAACCTGATGAATTGAGCCTGATCAGGTAAAACACAGAATAAAACATCTCCCCTCAGCTCTTATTCTGCCCTGTAAACATATTGCATCACACAGCATCAACAAGTCCCATCCCCCCCCCCAACTCCCTGACAGTGTGGAAAGGTCTTAGTGAGTGCTGTTGTGGGTGGGGAGTTCACTGGCAAGACTGTGTTTGGTGACTCAGTGTTGTGGTCAGTGAAACCACACCTATTCTCTGTGGCTGTTCCGTCCCTTAGCATCGAGGAACAAACATGTTGGGATATGTGCTTCCACTTTTCAATGTCCTTGTTTTTTTAAGTTTTAGAACGTTTATCAAACATTCATGTAAAGGATTTACCAACAAAAATGTAGCAGCCTGTCTGTCACAGTCTATATAATGACATTACAGGACAAGGACTGGAACTACAGTGCATATCTTATGATATAAGTTGAGCATACTCGGGTTTGGGTGTTTTTTGGCTGCAAAAAAATGTTTTTATTACGTAGTTCCAAGTTAATTACCTGCATTACCTCCAAACTGGGCAAATCTCCAGTTGTCCACTAATGAAGTCACAGGTTTGTATCTGCAGCCTGCAGTGCATTTGTCAAAACAGTGTATCCACACAAGCACTGGAAGGCATGTGCAGACTATGGGGTTAACAAAGGTTTCCAAAAACAGATTAAATAAAATGTAATGCTGCTTTCAGGTTCAATAAAATCATTTATAGTCCATCTCAGGACTACTATAATCGGATGTATCGTAATATGATATACCAAATGCTTTATTCAACCATTTTCTATCGCCTGCACATTTTCAAATAGCCTGATAGAGATAGAGAGCATTGATTCCTTAGTGAGCAAATGTCAACTCGAGAAAGTCAAAAGTCCAAATGTTCCCTCTGACAGGAAATACGCAATCTGTCTTCCACACAGCACCAACCCAAGTCATGAATTCTGCCCTTTGTAAATGTGCAAAAAAGCACTAAATGGAACAGGAACATTTTTACAATTTGGAAAATACATTAACACACCAAGGAAAACACACTTGTGTGACATAAGGTTGCCCTCGCCCTGGTCTAAGAGCAGAAAATGAAGGCAGGAGAATCAGGCCATTTTTCACTCTTTGTCCATCGGCCTAAATGTGTTTGATGCATGGAAATGCAAACAAAGCCAACTGCCAATAGCATGAGGTTAACAGTGGACAAGTATAATAGCCAGCCTGTATGTGCCATGCTCCTTAAAAGGGGGCACTCTGCACAAAAGAAATGCCCTAAGGTATTATTTCTGTAACCATAAGTCCTGATATAGTCTGGCTGCCCTACAAAAACCATGGATTTTAACTTATTATTCACTGCTTTATTTCATCTTTAAATGTCTCTGAACATGTCTAATCTTGCAGCTTCAGAGCTTCTCACATTCCCACACGTCCTGTCAACTTATTCAAGGATCGCTTGAACTTGTCCCCCTAAACAAAAGCCCACTGCTACCATTACTGTGGTGATGAACTGACGGTGCCACTTGTGCCAGGCTGAGATTCAACCTTCACATACCAAACACACTTAGCGAATAGAAGAAAACTCACCGAGGTGTTCAGCACATTAACTACTTACATTTCCACTGAGTACATTAGAAAACAAGAGAGATAGAAAAGGACGCGGGGAGAAATCAACTTTAACGTTAACGCACAATAAACAACCCTCCAAGACAGCAACGGTCCGAGGAAACGTTAACGGTTGGCGGTTTAAACTGTAAACAAAATCAAAGTGGCAACTTACCGTTCACCCCAAACACCAGACAAGCTGTGAAAAGTTGCAGCAAAAGGAAAAAACTCTTCAGCTCCTTCATGGCTGCTGTTACTGTCGACTCACGGGTCGGTTAAAGGGACGGCAGGAGCGTTGGCGGACAGCGGCTCTTCGGACGTTGCTGCTACAACTGTGTCTCGAGCTTGTTGTGCGGCTCAGAACTCCCAGGCAGCAGGCGTAGAGCACGAGCACGTGCGCCTCAGCTCTCGGCCAATCGCAGCCCGACTTTTAATTGTAACTCCGCCCCCTCCCTCGGTTGTAATTACCCTGGAAACAAAAGGAGCGTTAATGTTCTGCATTAAACCCAAGGTCTTGATTAAGATCTTTAATATAAAACCCGTCAGAGGAAAATGATTGCAGCATTTAACCTATGACCTAATGGTGTTTCCATGGGGATACTTAGGCCTTTCTTTAATTAGTTACTCAACTACTGTAGGCTACTTACATTTGAGGTACTTTATGATGTTACTTGAGTATTTTATTTTCATGCTTTTTAAAAAAAAAAAAATTATAAAATATGATGGTTTGTCATAAATTAAATCCACTTGTATATCTACAGCTTAAACAATTAGCTGATTAATTAATATAATTGATTTGCATTTTTCATGCAAAAACATTTCATGGTTGCAACTTCTCAAACGTGAGGATTTTCTGCTTTTTATTTTAAGTTATTTTAATTTATCATTTTTTTTATCTGGCCCTGGTAATAAATGTAGGCTAGTTAAATTGTTAAATTGTTAAATTATAGCTCATAGTAGCACATGTAGTCCACACACTGAAATGGGAAAAATTCCCATGATGACGGGCCACGCATGAATTCCCCTTCTGAAATGCAGATTAAGGCCAATGTTTGATTGTGGAAAGCCAAAAAGGTTCATCTGTGGGCGTTTCTTGAGCCGAGATCCAGCAGTGGGTCAGAGTTGATTTTTGTGCTCTCAGAGGGAGTGGGCGTGAGGTGAAGACTTGTTTTTAATGGGTGTGAGTTTGAGAGGGATGTCCAAGAGTGTCAGACTCTTGTATGGATGAAACTGTTTAGCAGTAATTTTTCTTCCTGCTCCAAGTTTAGGAGACAAAAAGCAGACAAAATACAGTAACAGATTGCCGACTTCAGGACACGTTACCTGCTTAATCGCCTTGGAAGTGTCTTTCTGGGTCTGTTCTTTACAATTCTTTCCATGTAACTTGAAAATATGGCACATTAAACAACAGCAGCAACAATATTCTCAAATGAACTCTACACACTTTGACTGGCAGGGTAAAATGTACTCTTCTGTAGCCTAGTAACAAGCCAAAGTGATTTAAATGCAGCTTAAAGTGATCTCATGCTTGGCGACTAGCTCAAATACAGAAGAGAAAGGCTGCTGTGCTTTGATGGTCTGTTCTCGTCACGTCTCCATGCTTGGTTTGTCACTCTGTTCTCATGCACGTTTAGACCAAATGCAGTTGAAAATGATGATATGGTCTTGAAACTGTGCTGAGTGAAACCTATAGCCCTTCCTCTCACATGCTGGACCCACAAAAAAAAAAAAATCCTTCCCCCAGAAGACTTTTTCACATCAAAGCTATACCAGAGGAGTGATACATCCTAACTCATTAGTCAAACAGAGGGTGGATATAATATGGGAAGTGAAGGACTCTGTGACCTTAATGGGATGAGGAACATGTACATGAAAAAGAAGTGAAAGTATATATTTCAAATATCTGGGAAAGGTATGTTCCTCCTTCTATCCTTTATGAAGCCTAAATGCAGAATGTTATTTGAGGTATTTTCCATCAAGACAAACCAAGGATCTGCTGGGAAACCGAAAGCAGCAGTATCATAACAGTACAAGCTTCTTCTGATTACGCAATACGCACATATGTTATGGAAAATGAGAGATTAAGAGAAATTTGTTGTATCAATTCACTGTATGTAACTAAACAATATGCATAAATAAAATTAGTCTTTCCATCCATAAAATCAGAAACAAATGAATCAGGGGTGAACTGCTGTTCAAGGGGATTATTGATAACTCTGTGTTCACCACACTAGCACAATATGCACTGAATGTTGGCGGTCCTAAAGTAACACCTGCTTTACGACCTAATCTTGAGGCCTCTGTTGGGGGCCTGTGTGAAAATCTAGTCTCAAGAATTTAAATATTTCAGTTTTTAATGTGATTAAATTTATACTAATAAATACTACTATACATAATCCATGGCACGCGATAGACACAGGAGGGTCAGTAGGGGACACAGCTCAGTTTTACCCTTTGTGCCCACAGCGGATTAGTCTGGGCCTGTCTCTCTTCCATCTACTGTCTACTGTCTTACATCTGCTGTCAGCTATACAATAAAAACAATAAAACATTTATTTTAAAATAACTAATTGAAAGATGTAATATAATTAAAAGGAAGTATTTCCTTTAAGGTTTGTGCAGTCTTACTTGAATTAAAACCATATCTCTGTGCATGTCAGTATATATCTGTCTTTTAACTCACAGCATGCATCCTGTCCTTAAGACATTTAATGATACCAAAGTCAGGCTTGAGAGCGTCATAGAAATTGTACCGTAGCCCAACTTTAGGTAACAGCCACCATAAGCCTAGAAAATGTGCAAAGGAAAGCAAAATGCAGGGATAAGAGAGATTTGTATCCTGTAGCTGGGGAGTCACTGCTGTGATCCCTAAAATGACAATGCTTCCATCATGTTGAAGTGTGCTTCAGCAAAAACAGTTAAACCCCTCTTGGTTTCGTTTTCCAAGAAAAAGAATGTCAGCAAAATCCCTAAACTGTGAAACTCAACAGGCAGAAAGAAAAATCTGCTTTATCCTTACTGTCACAAAACCATATGAACAGATCATGTGGTTGACGTGAAGCAGCCGTCAAATGTGGTGAGACTCCGCACTGGCAGCTTCCTCTGATGTTCCTCTCCTATCAGACAAAGCTTCTTCTCATGACTGACCCTTACTAAGTCTGAGCCAGAGAATGAGCGTCAATGTGACAGAGGCCTGTTTGATCTTAATCCTCAACGCAGAGTGCAGCAGAATCTTTAAACCTTGGGAAAATGTGGTATACTGTACCTGCAGGGGAATTACTCAAAGGGAAATTTGTCGTAGGATTTATACATCCGTAACTGAGGAGTATCTGTGAATTTTCACTTCTGTCTCCCACACAAAAAACAAGATCAAGCCCCTTTCACTTCTGTCTTCCATCTGGAAACGCAAGAGAGGATTCACACTTACAAACAACGTCATGGATAAGGAAATAAAAATAATTTAGGAGGGGAGTACATTCCTGAGGCTTTATTTCTTTGGAAGAAAAAGAAAGCTACAGTTCAACTGAAACCTAATTTGGTGTTCACAGTCACAACAACATAAACTGACGTGTAGGCTCACTAGTTTATTTGGGACTAAAGATATACAGTGTATTTTCAGAAGTAATACTGGATTGATTGGATGCCCAAAAACTCAAGCAACCTCAAATGTTCCTTTTCTGAAAGGTTTTCTTTTTAATTTGTGGAGTCACTTTACGTGAAATGAGTGTTGAGTTTCTAAATTAAAAATAAAAATTACATTAAAAAAACACAAAAAACACCACAGCAACTCAAACCACTCACACTCCCTCATGTCTATCATGTTCACTTTATTATCTACACTGTTGTTTCATTGTATATTCTCACCAGTTCTTATGATAAATTGCTATGAAACAATATGATGGGCCTGTATGTTCCTGGTCAGCAAAAAATATTTACTTATAATGTCATATTTTCCTCATAAATACAAAGTAATCGTCATAAACAAATATTAATCAAAATAAATATATTTATTTTATAATAAACATAGAATACATTTTACAATAATTCGACACAAATATCAATAAAACAATATATTAAAATCATGATTAGGTCACCATCAATGAATATTAAGTTACATACATAACATACTGTAAGTCCTATTGGTGGATGGCGCCCTCCCGTGGTTAAAATACTCAATAAAGGAGGACTGATGACTGAAAACTCTATCACTACTGTGATTAATACGTTTCTGATAATAAGAACGAACCCAGTTTTAAACATGCGACAATCAATAAAAACATTTCCCATTGAAAAAGTTATCCTACTGCTGCACCTTATAGTAAAAACATCATATTGCAATTATTTTGACAGATATTGCGCTTGACAGATATAATTCACAGTGAGTGTGGGAATTATTGTTTTTGCTAAACTTTACTTTTATTTTTAAAAAAATTGCAGCTTCTGCGATTTGAATATTTCACTTTGCCATTTTATTATTTCGATAATATTTCGATTAACTGTGCAGCCCTACATCCTATCTGTACTTCTAACCTCTCGTTATTTTACTATTGTTTTATATACACCATAAGATCTTTGAGATAGAACTTGTAAGTTTGTGTGAACTTGATCAGCTATATAATAGACCTGTTTACGTTTATGGTGTCCTATTTATTCTCCTGTACAGCACTTTGGTCAACTTTGGTTGTTTTTAAAGTGCTTAACAAATAAAGTTGGATTGGATTGGATTGGATATATTTGCTATTTGTGGTACATTATACCAATATCTATTTAAATAATGATTTGTGTGACATCTGTGTGTCGATATAAAAGGTAGGACTACATGGTCTAGGCGGACGTGGATGTGTCCAATGCAAACACCACGTGTTGTTACAGTAAACTGGGCAACTGTTAGTTTTTCTAAAGAAAGAAAAATAGGAAGTAAACTACACCGCTGATTGCTATGCTGCCTTTCCGTGCTGTTGGATATCCTGTTTTTACTAGTTCGACATAGACGGAAGATAAAGGGATTTGACTCAAAACAAGGGGATTGGATTCACGTATAAGCTGTGATAATTTATTTGTGTAAGTGGCGAAACTTTAAGATCTGAATTAATGTAAAGGAAACGCTACAATGTGTTATTTTTACTGCAAGCTGTATTTATTTCTGGCTCCTCCAAACGTCGCAGCTTTGTAAGAGCACCTGAATGCACCGTGAGCTCCCTACTGGTCAGTCAGCTCCTGTATTGTAAACAGACGGTGTCCGGAGACTGAGCTCAACTCCGGGTGGATCCGACCAGAACCTGGACTGACTCAACAAGGCACGATGGTAAGACCGGAAATGTCCTCCGTGTACTCTTTAAACTAATGTTATGTACTTTTTTTTAGTAATGTCCGCGTTGTGTCTGTGTTTTGTGAGGCCTTCAGGTTCACTCGACCACCTTTACAAACTGTTTTACCTGAGTGACTAAACAAAAGAGTACAAGAAACTGAGGCCAGGGACACTTCTTGTGACTCACATTTACGCTAATAGAGAGGTAGCTGACGGTTTGTTCTGTTATGTTGTAGTTTTTGTCGTTCCGGTTTTGTCGTCCATGCATCATAAATGCCTGTCAACTGGATTCAGTAGCTACTTTTTCTGTAACAACTGCCACAGTGCAATGCATCTGTTTAACTTTTAAACTTATAATTACATGTGAAATGCTAATACCCCGCGGGGAATCTATCTATCTATCTATCTATCTATCTATCTATCTATCTATCTATCTATCTATCTATCTTTCTGTCTATCTATCTGAAGTAACATGATGTTTCCTGCTGTAGACTTTTGTTTGTATATGTTTTCCCTGAGGCACTAGATCCTGTAAGTTATTATGAGTTGGTTTAACTGTGTATTTTTCAGCACTAAGTGAGCAACATCAGACTTTGGGTTCAAAAAGGAGGGCCCACAACCACTGTATTTTCTCCAAAGGCAGACAACAAGGTGGGTAAAAACTGACAATATCTATATTAGTACTTTTGATTTGAAGCATCTAATACTGGATGTTTCTGAGATTCTGAAAATAAATGAGAAAATAAAACCTACCACCAACATCAGACTGCAGACATATTACTAGGGCTAATAAAGCCCTCTTAAAGAGAGTAACTACAGCATGTTGAGAAAGAGCCCGAAACTAATCTGTGTGTATACGAGAAATTGTGAATGCTTGCCCTATTGAATTGTACATTTCGGTAGACTTTTGCTCCTAGCTGTTGAAGCCCTAAAGAGATTTAACTCAAAGACAATGAGTAGTGCATGTTTTTTTCCTTTGTTTGCCCATTTAACTTAACTTGAGATAAGATCATTTTTCCCGAGAGAAATTGTTGTGCAGCAGTTTGAGTACAAAGTAGGAAAAAGTGCAAAGAAACACATTTTTAACAGGTTAGCAGTCAGAAGTAAATATATATAGAATATATAAATATATATAGAATATATAGAAGTAAAAATAATGGGAGTTTTTTGACTGTTTTTATGTAGATTTCGTCAGGTAGAAATCTACAAGATATCAACAGAAGGTAACTTCTAACTGTATAATTGATCCTCTCTAAGCCTCGCCCCTTTTGGAAACTGTCAATTTTCTCCATTCCTATATGTTGCGTGCTGGGCTCATGTATGTTAAACACCGTTGAGAAGTTAGTTTTAAGTTGGATATTCACTCTGGATCCAGTAACGTCTTCAGTTTCGCTCAGTGTTGGCAGCATTAGTTCACCTTGAGCAGTTGCTCTCTAGGGACCATCAATAAATTACAGAAAAAATCTGCATGTTTTTTTTTTTAATAGCTTCCATGTGACCCAGTGTCTTCAAATCAATTAGTGATTACGATGATTTTGATTTGATTTTACTGCATCTTCTATTTTATATTAATAATCATATGACATGTGTCTAGTGTAGTAATATATATAGAATATAATTTGTAAGATAAGACGTCACTGGCTCCGGAGTGAATGTCGGACCAATGTTCATCTTAAAGTTAACTTCTCCACGGTTAAGAAACAACCAAATGTTGAAGATGGTTAAAAGATAAAAGTGACATATACAGTATATAGTCACATCTTAAATTAGCAATGTTAGAAAAACATTAGCTAAGTAGCTAGTTGATCTACATCAATTGTTAGCTAGCTCATCAGCTTCCCTTTTGCTAACATTCGCTATCAGATGTAACCAGCTAACTGAAGAATAATAATAATAATAATAATAATTGATGTAGATGAGCTAATTAAGCTGACGTTTTGTTAAGTATAAAAAAGGAGAAAGCTGACAGAGGTTGTGACGAGGCTTGTTCAATAGTTATTGGAGCACAAAGCAAAAAGGGGGCGGGAGTTAGGAAGGCTCACCCCCTGTAGACTCTTAATAAGTCATGTTGAGTTGAGTGCTTTCCTACCATGCTGTGCATAGGTCCTCTCCTGTCTCCACAATGGCCGCCCTTGAGGATGGTGACATGAACACCTTCGGCCCGGAGCTGCCTGCCATGTTTGATGGCATGAAGTTGGCAGCGGTGGCAACTGTCCTCTACGTCATTGTACGCTGTCTGAACCTGAAGAGTACCACAGCACCACCAGGGATCATCTACCAGGATACACCGCTCAGCCGGTACCTGTTCAAAACTTGCCCGATGCTGACCAAAGAGTGAGTGTGTATTATTATCTAATCTTAGTTTTAACCACTAAGAACATTGGATGACTTCTGCATTGACAAAATCATTCTTCATGTAAAACGGCTAATCAACGTACTTATTAATATTAATACGGGTACTTATATACAGAATTTGACAAAGAATCAACAGAAAAAAATATGTATAATATGTAGTAAAGTGAGATTGTCAGTGAGCACAGAGAAACTTTCCACTTTCAGCAGATGAATGTGAAAACATCCTTCTAGTGTCAAACTCTGCACATTCATCATTCTGCACAGTGAAGTGCAAACAACTGTAGGAACAAGAAAAACGACATATTTTTGAGTGGAGGGGGACTTTAACTGTTTTGGTTCCAGCTTGTCCAAGTGAAAAGCAGTTTTTACTCTTAAAAGAGAACCAATTTAGCTTTGCATTACATACATAACATACATACAAACATAATTTTAAAGTTATGCTTACATACTTCTAGCACATGTACCACATACATGTACCATATTCCCACAAGTACATGGGAATATGGTGTTGTATGTATGTATGTATGTGATTTGAAAATGTCAACCACACAAAATAAATCTTTTCTAGGTCAGGGTTCAATCTTCACTGGCTGAGCTTGTCATTTAAATGACTGATGATACATTTAGATTTGTCTTTGGTTTGAGTAGTGTAGATGTGCCTCACTGTACTGTGATAATCTTTCCTAAGACTGTGCTGAAACATCTTCAGGGCAGCGGTTATATTTGTAATGTAAAATGGAGCCCATCCTTCTCTTCAGATACATTCCTCCCTTGCTGTGGGGTAAGAGCGGTCATCTTCAGACAGCCCTGTATGGCAAGATGGGCCGTGTCAACACCCCAACGCCCTTCGGGGTCCGCAAATTCCTCCCAATGCAGGACGGGGCCACAGCAACGTTTGACCTCTTCGAACCAATTGGAGAGCACAGCACAGGAGGTCAGATACAAATACGAGTCTATGTGGTAAAGCACCAAAGCAGCTGGCTTTGGATTTACTGCATGTTTAGGATTGTTACACTTTTAAAGCTTATTTTTTGTTATTGCTAATTATTGTTTTGTTAAGCTGTTTTTATTTGACTGTCTTTTCTCCTGAGTTTTATGTGCTTGTTTGGATTGTGAGTACATGAGCCGCAAGTAACAATCAGTTTATACTACAGTATGCATGAGCAGGGAGAGCACTAATGAACTCCCTAGAGCGAAAATACCATGCATTTCAGCAGCCAATTAAATCAAGACACACACACACACACACCATCCATTTTACACCCACACATGACTCCACTTTGTATGTTTATGCATGTGTTCCTTCTTGTTTGTTTGTTTGTGTGTGTGTGTGTGTGTGTGTGTGTGTGTGTGTGTGTGTGTGTGTGTGTGTTTTTTTTTATGTCAGATGACATTACCATGGTAATCTGTCCTGGGATCGGTAACCATAGTGAACAGAACTACATTCGGACCTTTGTGGATCACTCCCAGCGGCAGGGTTACCGCTGTGCCGTCCTCAACCACCTGGGAGCCCTGCCCAACATGGAGCTCACCTCTCCACGCATGTTCACCTACGGTAACATCACATACATGTTATAGTCCAAACCGTAGTGGGGAAGTTGACTTCACAGCATTTTTGATGTTGGTCTATTAAAATTAGGGGAAGTGAAACAAAACAGAGGATTCAGTCAAAGTTGCAACAAAGGAAAAACAAAGAGAAAGGAAATTTTCATGTTTTATAACTTGTGTAAAGACAATGACGGAAGTATAGAAGGTCTTTATTGGAACGGTATTGGAGCCTTTAAATAAATACTTATACTACACATTTGTAAAAGTGTCTATCTTTTATACAGGTTGTACCTGGGAGTATGCAGCCATGGTAGCCTACATCAAACAAGCTTTCCCCCAGACGCTGCTGGTGGTTGTGGGATTCAGTCTTGGGGGAAACATTGTCTGTAAGTTCCTGGGTGAGCACACATCGAACCAGGACCGAGTGCTCTGCTGTGTCAGCGTCTGTCAGGGTTACAGCGCCCTCAGGTTGGTAGAATGAAAAACAAATGAACAGAACCAGAACTGGATATGATTAAAATTGCTTAGGATACTGATATGTATAATATATATTATACATATATTATACATACCTGCCATTTCTGTATGTGTGTGTGCAGGGCCCAGGAAACATTCCTGCAGTGGGATCAGTGCCGGAGGCTTTACAACTTTGTGTTGGCGGACAAAATGAAGAAGCTCATCCTGTCACACAGGTGGAGAAACACAACAACCGTTTCTGCAGTTACAGATTAACATTAAGTCTATGACAGTGCCATTCATTATACATAAATTACATTATTGCTCTTTTTCTGGTGTGTATGCCAGAAAGCAACAAGATAAAGCTTGGATCTCTTTTCCCCCAATGTATTGAGTTGTTAAAATTACATTAATTGTTTATTTGTCTAAAAACCTTTTATTGTATTGTCCAACAGGAGCAGTTTGCTTAGCATGAAATCCAGTAACATTGGGGATGCAGACCTGAACAGACTGTACTCAGCCACATCTCTGATGCAGATTGATGACAGCATCATGAGGTGAAGTTTGTGTGGATTTTTATTTTGATTCAGTTGCTAATGGCTGCTCCCAGTTCTACAGCTCTTATCTCGGTCACTGATGTTATCACACAATTTGCACTGCAGGAAATTTCACGACTACAGCTCCTTGAAAGAGTACTACGAGAAGGAGAGCTGTGTGCACTACATCCACAACGTGAGTGACAAGTGTGTGTAGATGTTTGCACAGAAGGCTCGATAGATGAGACGTTAAGTTTGGTTTCTAGTAAACACGCTGTATCTCACTTGTTTGATGCTGTGTGGTTTCAGAGGAAGTTATGTGGTGTAACCGTTTTTTGAAGAACTTGTGTGTTTCTGCTAGTTGCCTGGTAACCTCATTACCCCTGCAGCTCAGTTAAAGTCACACATTGTCATCTTGAGCCAGGCTGTCTTCAGTCTTTCTGCTAAGCTAAGCTAATAGCTTAATAGCAACTATAGCTCTGCACTGAAAGCTTGGAAGAAGGTGAATAATCAAAGAACCCAAAATGTTGGTTGTTCTACCATAACTATGAATTAGTGAATTAAATAAATATTTTAAAACAACAGTTTTTACTACTGCTACAGCAGTACTGTAGCCTACTACTATTACTGCCTGTAACACTATTACCTTTGCTGTTACTATTGCTACTACTACTGGTACCACTATACTTCTATAGCTTCTACAACAAGAACACTACACTGACTAACCCAATACAGTAACGTCTGCTACCATTACTACTACTGTTCCTACTGCTGCTGCTCCCTCCAGAAGCAGTGTGTAACCAGACCTTACAAAGTCATTCAGAAACAAACTGTTGTTTCATCTCCAGGTCACTGTGCCTCTGCTCCTGGTAAACTCCTCAGATGATCCCCTAATTCATCAGTCACTACTGGCTATTCCACGCACACTCGCAGGTTTGTGTTATTTGGGCTATTATGTGAAGGTGTGTATTGCATTGGCCATGATGTAGAGATATTCGTTAAAAATATTTAACATGTTTTATACAAATACACTGTTTATTGTCAGTATTGGTGACTGCAGTGGAAGCCCTGACTTGGTTTGAAATATTTAACAAATTAATTGGGCTTACCTTTAAGACTTCTTGATTGGTACATAAAAGCCACCACGTTTTGGTAGAAAAGCTTTCAATAAGGTCTCATGACATGACAACAGGAAGTATGCAAGTATAATCTTCTCTTCTACACAGCTGATTTTACAGCAGTGTGTGAAGGGTTAACTAAACTGTTGCTATGATGACTCAAATGTTTGTTTTAAACATTTTGCGTGTTTCCTAGACAATGACAACTACAACAGTAAAACATACAAAGTCACATAAACTCAGACTAGTGTGGAACAAATGAACCCGTTGTCCTTCCTTCATTGGAGCTGGACACTGGAGCCGGAGTCTTAACTGTTGATAAAGTCTTGTCGCAGCTATCTGCTCAACACCGCCAAGCCCAGACAGTCTTGTTGAATTTTTCAGGGCCATGTGATCCACCAGGGCTGTTGGATTATATATAGAGAGCAGTGTGTGTGTGTGTGTGTGTGTGTGTGTGTGTGTGTGTGTGTGTGTGTGTGTGTGTGTGTGTGTGTGTGTGTGTGTGTGTGTGTGTGTGACATGCACTGACCCTTGTGTGTGTAAATCAGTGTGTATAATGACTTAGACCCTGACAAGTGAAATTCTAAACTTGTCCTCTACTTCAAGGAAACATGAATGAATTTCTTGTCATTTCTCCCTTACCTTACATTAGTTACAGTGACTCCAAACATTCCAAGGAATATTTTGTTGATTAAGTTTGAACTGTGTTATCTTCTTCAGTTCTGATGATTTTATAGACCTCTTGCACATTGGGAATTCACTTAAAAATACTGATTAAAAATATTGCCACAGGTTTTCTCAGTTTTTAAAAATTTGGCTTTTCAAAGAATATTTTTTATTAAATTTGGTGACAATATTTAATATTATGTGCAACACTTGAGACAATTTAGAGAGCTGTGTGTGTGTGTGTGTGTGTGTGTGTGTGTGTGTGTGTGTGTGTGTGTGTGTGTGTGTGTGTGTGTGTGTGTGTGTGAGTGTGAGAGAGAGATATATTGTGGAAGTGTGTGTTGAAGAAAACAGCAGAAAGCGTGTAGGTGGTGTAGAGTAACAGAAAGGGAAAGGAGTATTTCTGTGAGGAAACCGAACGTCTTGGCCACTGACCTCAGAGTCAGTCGCCAAGCCATTTTAATGATACCTCCACAAAGCAGGAGAGCTTAATTATTTATCTTCACGTTGACAAGATTAGGGTGCCTTTAATTACCAAATGGCTGGAGATTCTTCACCAGAAAACCAAACTGACACAAAAAAAAGTGCAAAAAGTTACAACTTGTCAGATGAAACAGTGAATGAACTGTCAATATTCAGCAGTTATGTGCTCTATAGTACACTTGTGCAGGGTGTAAATTTGAGCCCACCGTTAGGCGCTATAATCAGGAAGTTTATCTTTGCCAAAATTCCTTACTTGTCAGTAGTCATTCATTTATAAAAGCTCCGTTACATAATACTTTTGGTTAGGACATTGACACAAGTCACTGTATAATAAAATTACTAAAAAACAATCATTGTGTGTAACCCATAAACAATTAAGAACTTTGAAGCTCTCCACAACTTTTAGCTTATTTTTTTTTGTTGTTTGTTCACAGGCTGCACATACGTAGATGTAATTTAACATTTACATAGACATAGTATGGTTGAGTCTTATCCCCTGTAGAAAACTTAGGCAGCTGATTCCAACAAACAAACTTAGACAATCAAACAAAGTAAACAAGCGGTTTGTAAAGAATTGTTCTAGCATCCAGCAAACAAAAGACACGGAGTTGGTGGAGAACAGGCCAGACCCCCAAGGAGAGTAAATATTGGACTTAAAGCTACAGTGTGTAAAAGTGGGAATCTGTTCGGCAGAAATGGATTATAATATTGATAGGTATGTTTTCATTCCACTTTCATGGTGTCCGCCATGTTGAACTACTATGTTTCGACAGTAGCTCAGAACAGACAAACCAAACACTGGCTGTAGATAGTTCGCATTTTTTACACGTTTCGAAGCCGCAGTAATTTCTCCTTGCAACTACATTGGTAAATGCCACTAAACCCTACACATTGACCTTTAATGTTACCCTAGTGACATGAAATTTGACTCTAACTGGATGCTCACAAGTATCAACTTTATGAAGCGATATAGTCAGTGTTGTGTTCACAGCTTGTTTCCGCTGCCCCCAATTGACCACAAATCCATTATTGCAGCTTTAAACAAGCAAACACTGTAAATGAGTCAGCTTGATTGTAGAAGGAGATGTTTCCTTATTTGTATGAAATATTGGAGCCAGTATATCCCAAAAGGTTTAGTTAAGAGCACCTTCACTTTAGATTCCTGAAGACTTTTCATCCAAAAGTCTCCTTCAGTTCTGAGCCAGTGTTTCCATCAGGGGCCGTACTGTACACTTCACTTAAGTGAATATGATTTGTTTGTCCAGAAGCTGATGGATCTTGTTGGTGAACTGAAACTTTACAAATTGATTCTTGTCATCAGTACTTTATCCGGCTGGTACAGAGACAATCCAAACCAGCCCCAACTTCCTGTTACAGAAACTTCCACTATGTGTCAACAGCTGTTTGGAAGGACATGTGCACTAAATTCGGTAATAGTAAATACTGCAAAATGACTCCCTCTCCTTCTGTCTGTAGAAAAGATGCCCAATGTCATATTTGCCCTGACCCAACACGGAGGCCACCTGGGCTTCTTTGAGGGAGCCGTGCTGTTCCCTCAGCCCCTCACCTGGATGGACAAGGTCATAGTCGAGTACACGAACGCCATCTGCCACTGGGAGAAGGACTGGCCGTCCTGCCAGAGGAGCAGCCAACAGCACATGAACTCCTACCTGCAGAGCACAGGGGTAACACTTAATGGGTAATAGAGAGAGTTGTCTGGAGACAAAACAATAGACCAAACAAAAAACGCACATCCCTAGCCTTCTGTACTAATGGCCCTACAGTTTAGTAAGTAATTCTGGAAAATATAGGAAATCAGTAAACGGATCAGAAAAGTGAGGCTGAGTGGAAGTACACCAAGTTGTAAACTGAAACTCACAGAAGATAATTATACTGGAAAATGTAATATGACCCCATGGTGAATTTGTACTTCCTCTTGTTCTCAGTTAACCTCCAGTATAACACGTGTTCACCCTCTGCTGGTTTTTGGCAGCTGCTGCTTCTTAAGTCTGGACTGATACAGCAGGGTTACCTTTGACCTGCATGTCGAAAGAAAGAAAAGTGTATTTTTCTACATGAATTACTACCGAAAACCTTTCTAGATACTCAAATATTCACAATCCTGTTTACATACAAATTAGACTTCTAGTATAAATTAAATAACTATAAAAAATGGAAAATTATCTTCAGTGAAGTGTGAAGGACACATTGTCTAAAGCCTTAAAACCTTAACCATAATAAACTTTAAAATGTACCTGGTGACCCACATCAGTTATATTTTGAAGCACATTATTTTAAATATAGATATTTAAGAATAGAATTGAGTTCACAAGCAGATTTAAGCACCTTAATATTAATGTGAATCTGCGATAGATTTGGTTTCTGGCATCTCCAGAACCATTAAGCTACCTCTGTAAGACTTATGGTTTACAGTGATGATTTCCACCTGTTGTTAGGGCTCAACGTAACGTCTGTCCTGTTCAGTCAAACTGTGCGTCTAATTTCTTTAATATGATACAGTAGGATCTTGTTTCTTGTTTTCTATTAAGAGACTTTTGCTGTTTTATTGCAAAATATGTTCAATAACAGCAGTTTGGTTTATATATGTATTGAGGCATCATTTTGCTCATTGTGACACCGATCTCCAGTTTTACACTTTGCATTTCCATTGTGTGCGGTGGACCATCAGCCTGCATTGTTGCTGCTGACCTTTAAAATAAATATCAGGGTGTTGGGTTTTTAAAAGGGTTTAAGAGTTCAAAAAAAACACAGACAAATGGTTATCTTTGATTTAGTGATTATCTGCCAGTGCTTTATGTGTTGTTGAATGGATATATGGACAGTTCATACAAACTAGCCTTAACATTGTACGCCACGCATTGTCCTGTTCCAGGTCAGCTTGTCCTATGCTATTGTATGAATTGTACCTTTAAAACCAGCATGGAACAGCTGTTAGATGCATCCTGCCATAGCATGAGGATGGTCAGGCGGTTTCATTTTTATTACTGCTGCTCTGATTATTACCACAGAAAAGGTCCTTTTAGAATTTTACAATTCAGGACACGAGATACAGAAAAACAAATCTGACTGACGGGCTGTTCAGGACAGAGCTGGGTCAAACTGTGTTTACAAACACTTTCAGCAGAAAGGAGAGAGAAAAGTGCAAATGGGACACAACAGCGTATTAAATAAGAAATCCAATTATGCACTCTCAGTTTATGCACTTACCAAACAAATGGACCAAATCTTTTCAATAAAAAAAAAAATAGCTCAACTTTGTATTTTTTAATGATTCTGTCGCATTCTCGCCATGTGACCTAAAAATGCACCTGGCTCAAATACAGTGAACATCTCATATTAGACATTACTCTGGACTAATTAAGTCACTATCGTTTTTGGGGGTTTGCTTTAAGCTGCTTATTGGTACATACAGAACGGGTGGAGTTTTCCACATGTGAGAAATAAATACAGTGAACAGAGGTGTAAATGACATTTTTTTTGTTACATTAAAACACAGTAAACATTAAAACTATCACACAAACCTTGCCTCTGTTGTGTCTCATCTCATGATACAGCATATTTCCATGAGAAATGTTCTGATGAAGGTCTCAAACATTGACTAAATAAGAGGTGAAGTTTATGTGAAGCAGTTGTTTTTGTTTTCTGTGGTTTATTCTGGGCCTTTTTTCATGACTATTTTGAGAAGTGCCTATGGTGTGAATGTTTGATATTAAACACCGTTTCCTGACCGTGCTTGTTACATTAACATTTTAACCATTAGATTTAATGCAACTTTAATTCTATACCTGCCCTTTGAAAGCCGAATACAATTTGCAACAGCGCCATTGCTGTCTGTGCAATATGTCCTGAGTGTTTGAGGTATGGACTGCTTTGCCTGCACTTTACTGTCTTTACAGTTCCTTTTGTTCTGTATGGCACTGTGGTATGTACTGTATCAGCTTATGGGTGTAACATTTTATAATCTAAACAAATGTGTTTTTTTCTGATGTGGTGCATAGCCATGACTGATTAGTCATATTTTAACTCACCGATTAATAAATATTTTTCACATAGATTTTGTTTTTGTTGTTTATTGTAACCTATTCTAGATGTTCCTTTTCTAGCCATGCTCTTGGCACAGTAATGTCAGTCAGACCACCACTTTAGTAAATCTCTGGAACTCTCAAGAGCTATTGGATTGACTGCATCAAATTTTGTTCAGACATTCACAGTCCCCAGACGACCAGTTTCCAGTTGGCTCTTATTTGGAAAAGTCCTGAGGCTGATATGTGGCTTTGAGTGACTGTTGGGCAATTAAATTTGGTGCACACATTCATATTATGTTTCCCTCAGAATGAATTGTAATAAGTTTGGTTAGAAAATAACTTTTCATCCAGTGCCCTCAACAGGTCCAAAACATTCCTATCAGCCTCAGTTGTAGTTTAAGTTTAGTGCTAATTAGCGAAAGTTAGCATGCTAACTCGCTGAACATCAGCATGTTAGCTCGAAGCACCGATGTGCAGCCTCACAGAGCTGCTAGTGTGGCAAATGACTCCTTTAGTAGGAAATTGATGCAAACGCTACAACTTATATTTATATACAGTTTATTGTACATTTATTGACATTCTTATTGGTGCACCAGGTAGCACAGTGGGTTAAACTTAATAATATTCATATTGAAGAACAATCTAAAAAACACATGAGAGACAGGCACTTGTTGGAATATCAGCCTTGTACTTCAGGGAGAGACGGGGACCAGAGGGAGGAGACTGAGAAAGCTGGGGACCTGCCCGTGTTAAAAAAAGCTGTGTGGATGAGCTAGGATCTAAACAAAGCACAACTTTACAGAGGTGGGAGACAGAAAGTCTGTTAACATGACTTAACATGGGTGTTTTGAATGATTATCTGATACATTTTTCCTTCATGAAATTAAGAAACTTTATTGTATCTGAAAGATCAAAGAATAATACTTCACAGTAATTATTTTAGATTATATCCTGCCTCCCAGACAGCCGCTGGCTTTCATTCATCTGGGTTAAGCATTAAAATCAACTTGTAATACCTTGAAATCTGCTTGAGATAAGTAATCCACCACTGGATATTTGGTCACTGTTATTTTATGATCAGTTACAGTGATGCCGATGTGAGCACGTACTGTTGTGAAAACTTTTCCTTATTGGCGACTTTCAGTAAGCTCTAAGGTCTTCTTGTGAATCAGTAAATAACACACACAAAACATTGAAAATAATATTGTGAATTTGGTGTATTTGTGTAATAAAAAGGATGATGAGGATCAGCTTATTTGAACACACCAACAAGGAAGCATCAAAACAGCTCCTGCCTAAATGTTCATTGTGAGGGATTGCCTCTTTCAAGCCAGTCCTGCCTCGCTCCTGTTATGCTGTGCTTTGTCAGGATTTCTGGAAAACAACATAACTCACACACTCATGACTTTCATTCTTTTTTTTTTTTTCCTACAGCCACACAGCTAGATTGGGCTTTGAGTCTCCACAGTCTGTGGGGTTTGTAATATATAATGGCTCTCCGCCTGGTTGGCGTAAAGCGAGGGAGGACGTTTAGTCGAACAGCTTGGTTGCTGTGGCATTGCCATCATACTTGGAACCTTTTCCATCAAACTCAGAGGGAAGGATGTCAGCGTCAAACTCCTTGTAGTAGTTTTCCAGCTCGTCTCCGTGGACAAACACCTAGAGCAAGAACAGCAGCTGTTAGAGGCATTTGTGGCACTGTGGGTATTTTCAGCACCTGACAAGCCAACATGTAAATAAGTGTAAATTTAATTGCCGGAGGTGAGAATTATTCATAAATTCAAAGCAACAGAAAATGTAATATAAGAAAAATAGATAAAACATTAAATGCTTTTAAAAATGCTTGACTGTAAAGTGTTATTTTATTATGGGTATTTTAGTATTATTAGAGTCAGCTGCCAGCACTCGGCTCTGCTAATCAAAAAAACCAGTCCCAGGCCTCCAGTAAGCTCCACCAATAAGAAGCACATTATTTAAAAAAATGAAACAGACAAACATAAATCTTCCATCTAACTCACCCTCTCTAGCAGCTTGCCCTTCATGAGTGGTTTGACCACATTGTAGGTGGTGGTGAAGTACCAGGGCTGGTGGATGAAGTGCACAGCTTTGAAACGGGCAGGGAATGAATCCTGGCAGAAAAGAAAAAGTCAGATGGTTTGGTTATACAGCTTTCAATAAAACTGTCCTGCAGTCCTGAGTGTCCGATATTAAAAATGGGATATAACAACTATAGCCACCCAGCAATCTGCCTGTATTCACAGACCAGCCCATGACCTGAGTTTAGGTTTTCCCACCTGCAACATGTCCACCATCTTCTTGAGCTCGGTGGGTTTGATTCCAGATGCCTGCTGCATGGTGAAGCCCTTGAAGTTCTCAATGATGCAGAACCCGTTGATCTGAGTCTCCTCGTTCTCCAGAAGCTTCTCCAGGATCACGCAGTAGGCCCGAAGGATCTGAACACACATGTTCATTGGCTGTTTATTTAATTGGAATTGTGCAGATATTTGTAATTTGATATTTGATTTTGTACCCATTTAATTTAATAAGCTTTTCAGGTGAATTGTGGGATATGTGGCCACCCAGAACCACTCATTTACCTCATCAAAGGTGATCTCCTCATAGTCCCAGTTCTCAATGTTGAAGAGCAGAACCACACGGCCGTATTTGTCTCTGCTCTGCAAGATGCCGGGGTAGCCGGCCTCGATGGTGCTGCGTACGGCCTCTGGGGTCAGATTCTCAAATAACTCGGGGTAATCCTTCCTGAAACGCACGTAGCCTGGGTGGAAACACAGGAACACACATTGTAGGCTCACACCATGCTGTATAGTCTGGCAACTGGAATCATAGTTGTTCAATAACACTTGAGAACTTTACTTCATGATTGGGTAGGTTGGGTCCATCAACATATAGTCGATGATTGGGTCACAGTGTTCTTAGAAGCTGATAATGCACCTAAAACTATTTAGTCAGTCTGGGTTTTAGTGTCCCATGTTGATCTTAATTCACCCTGACAATGACAAATCGGTGGTGGAAGCAATAAATCACTGTTAATGTGTAGCATGGAAATGATCAGTTGTAATTTTGACACATTATTTTGTCAATGCAAGTATAAATTCATTAGGGATCAGTCACTTTAAGTGTTTTTTCTTGTAAAATTATGAATTGTTAAAGAACATTTGTCTGTCCATCATTACATAATATCCCAGACACCAGACTCATATTGTACATACAGATTAACATGTTCAATATTGCTTTCTTTTATGGATTTATGATATAATTAAGAGTTTGGGATTTTCAGCTGGAAGGAGAAAAGAGTATTAATAGTATATATTTAGGTTTGCCACTTCAAACTGTTCAGTCTCCTGACATACCCTTCATAAGCTCAAAGGCTCTGGGCACATCGAACTTCCTGGCGCGGATGAAGCGGACCAGCATACCGTCTGGTTTATCCCCAAACGTATCCTGCACACCTTTGGCCAGGTCATCGCCTCCATCTGCCTTCTCCTTAATAATTCCTCGCAGCTCCTTCACTGCTGCCACCCGCTTCTCATCTGTCTCATTCAGCTCGTCCTTGGCCTGTAGGGGGAGCCAGACCAGACAGTTAGCTCACACTTTTGGACAGCTTTGGTTTTATACGGATCAGAGACATACTGTGAAGAAGTAAATGAAAACGTGTGTTTATTAATGTTGCCAGTGAATGATGGGTTGTATGAATGTGCAGGGAGAGTTGCAAAGCACGGATCACTGTCTAACAGGTTAAATGGTTGTAATGCATGCAATGCTAGCTAGCTACCTAGGTAGACTAACCAACATTTTACCCTCTGATATGCCATTTTTAGTGCATTTTTTTCAAAGAACATTAATTTAACTATTTAACTATGTGATAACATAAGAAAAAGTACTGCAGGTGGGTTGGTACTGTTACTTAACCGGAGCAAAAATTGAAATTAGTAAATGTCCGCATAGCCAGACTCCGCTGAATAATAAACTCATCTCTTTCTTAGTAGAGAATGAGATAATACATCTTACCTTCTTTTCTGTCTTTATTCTATAGTTATATGTAATTTAATTAGATTAGATTACATTCAACTTTATTGTTATTTTTTGTACAAGTATTGGGACAACAAAATGCAGTATAGCATCTGTAGTGCAAAGAAGTAAAGTACAGAGTAATATGCAATATACAGAATAAACATTAAGAAGTAGATCTGAATATACTAAGATGTATACATTATGAACAGTATTAATAGTATGAACAGTGTGAAATGAATACCGTAAGACTACAGAGACATACTGTAATACAGTGATTAAACGTAACCATGTTTTGTGTCTAGATTTATCTGATTTGCTAATGTGAGAGCACATCTGACTACCTTCTGCTTGGTGTGGTCTGGCAGACTCGCACAGGGTCCAAACACTGGCCCATGGTCCTTGACAGTTAGACGTTCCAGCTTGGCCCTGAGAGCCTGCTCCTCCTCCGACACCATACGGTAAGTTCCACTCTGAAAAGAGAGGGGTCAGTATTACTTATGGGGAGCAAACACAAATACAAATACAAAGTACAGTTTGGTTGAGCACTAACAGGTCAAGTGTTACAGGTCAGTCATTTAATGATTATGATAGCTCTGCGGTGTGTTCTAGTACCGGACACTGGCTACATGAATATTAGCTACACTCTTCACTTGAGTTTGACAGGTCATAATGTCTGTATTAAGTGACTTTAAAGATGTGTGATTTTTAGCAAAAAGCAATATTTATATTATATTATATTTATATTATATTTCTAGAGTAATTAGATTGATAAGATAAGATAACTAGATTCAATTGAGAATGTATTCAATTCAATTGAGAAACTTAAATTATATGGATAAAAGTGAATATGGTACATATTTCTCTCAGGGATGCCATTGATTACCTTGCAGCTAAGCTTACATACTGTAGCTCTGGTTAAACATAGTACATCTTATTTATGCACTAGCTGATATTACAGATATTACAGTTTTACCATGTTAACCAAGCTTTTAGGCTACAAGGCCTGGATATCGTAACCAAAATTGTTTTACTAGTGTCTATTCAATATGTGCTTCATTTGTGGTTCCAACACTCGTGTACAAAATAAGAATTTTTTGTAGAAAAACTTGCACTGCTAAAGACTGACAATATTAAGACTACAAATCTGACCAGACTTTTGATTCCAACATAATTTGATACCAAAAAAGTTCCTTTCCACTGCGGACAGTTTGTCGTAGCAGGAGAAGCACAGGTGTTATTGATGACATTAGTAGATGCATTTAGCTGTGCCAGTTCCAGGCCTCTGGCATTGTGGATACTCACTTACTGGCAATGGATTTGTGGCACACAGTAAATGCCTTACTGTGTCAATATAATTCTCTCACAAGACCTGGTTGTAATGTGTGAGGTTTAAAACATGTCACCAGTGCTGCAGGAACATAATCAATAGGCCTCAGTGTTTTTATTAATCTCCCTCACGGGTCCAGTAAAGCCTGTAAATACGGAATCTGTAACAATAGGCTTTGGTCTTGAGAAATGTTGAGCTGCAGTTGAGTCCATGTTACAGGAAGGTGAATAGATATTTGTCTTGGCAATAGTTTTTTTGTGTGTGTGTGAGTATTACTCACATTAATCACAGGCCTATTACTCCTTCAACGCCCCATTACAGCTCAGTAATCCATGTAAGATATCAGCATGGTTAGCTCTCTTTGGGCAAAATCAGAGCAACCCAGTTTAAAGTAGGTAAAAGTGTAAATACTTACAACCACAGCCATATCTCCTTCTCTTTATATTAGCTTCGTACTGTCTGCAACACGAGAGGGAGTTTGTTATTCACATGAATCGTAGTAAAAAGAAAAAGAAAAAGAAAAACAACTGACACATTGTACTCCACATTAATCCCCTTCACCCCACCCTCTCTGCTATCACAGGGTACCTTGATTCGGCTATATTTAGCACTTGCCCATTCCTGGATGATTTATCAGGAGGATTTAAGGTCAAGCGTCTCTTGGTTTCGTAATCTACAGGCTCACATTTGTTGTTCAGGTTTAAACTCTTCATCTCTATCATGCCGTTACATTCAGTATTACCATAAATGTTCAGAAGTGCAGAAAATCAGTAAAGCATACAACAACTTGAACTTTAATGTTCCCTTGAAACCTTCCCTTAAATTAAGTAGATTTAAAGACAATAAAACTTTTCCCAAAGTGTGCTGTATCATTTGCTGCATCCGCTTTTTCTAATACTAATCAATTAATGGATTGACACACAATTTATCTGCAACCATTCTGATAATTGATTACTCATATTTCAAGTAAAAATACAAATACAAGCTAGCTCTAGACTCTCATTTGTTGACATATGTGACAGCAAATTGAATATCTTTGGGTTTTACACATTTGCTCAAACAAAAGAAGCAACTTGAAATCATCACATTGGGGCTTTAAGGAATTGGATGATATTTGAATATTTTCACAATGCTAAACTGGCATATTTTAGACCCAAATTATTAACTGAGTAGTTAATAATTAGTTTTCTTGTGGGCAGACAAGCAGTCATGACTATTTAAAATACCTTTCTAGTCAATTTCCTTAAATTGAATATAAGTAAGTCAGTTTTCCACACATTTAAATTTTGCATGCAGAAGTTTGGAAAGACTAAACACCTGCTATTCTGTGTCTCTAAAGCATACGTATTAAAATCACTGCATCACATTTATACAGGGCCCTCAAGTGAGGAGGGCCCGCAAAGAGACTAGAATGAATATCTATGGATGTGGAGAGGGGCCCCTACAGACTTAACTTAATAAATGCCACTCAGACACTTAAGGCCAAAGCTGCAGTACCATAAGCACTTGTATTTTTGGGATTGTTGATTGTTTAATGCAGCTCTGAACCTTGCCCTAGTCTAATAATGCACCTAATGAGCAGGTACAAAATACCTTTGAGTCCCAACTCAATGGCAGCCAACTATTCATATCCACTTCATAAAACAACGTCAGTGTCCCCGGTCAAAATCCCTGCTCCATTAACAACAGCTGAACTACAGCAGGACCCAGAAGAGCTGCAGAGTTTGAGAGCTGTACAACATGCAAAGAAGAAAAAAGTGTGAAGTAGCATATCAGTAGAGGAGGCTGAGACCTACCTGAAGCAGATGCGAAGTTGCTTGGCGGGGAGTCACAGGGGTCTGTGTGGAGCGAGGTGGACGGGACCTGTGATTTGTAGTGTTGGGATTAGTGGCGTCACACCGGATTACATCCTTTTTCTTTTCAATCAGCATAAAAGTGGCAGAGGGTGGGAAAGAAGGGGGAGGAGAGGAGGAAGTGATGGTGAGAGTGTTAGGCCAATGGTGGAGGTGCTCCCATGATGAAAGGCAGGTCCAATGCACATATTGGATGATGTAATGTTCAATATACACTTTAGGTAAAAGGTGATTTGAGGGGTTGGAGGGATTTGATTGCATTCCAAGGAGACTTGGATGTAGTGAAAAGTGACCATTGTGAACGCTGATTCCCAGTTTGATTTCAGCAACGTGAGCACACTCGGGTGAGAAGAGAAGAGAGACTGTATTCAAATGGTCTGTTTCACATGGTTAGAGGCTTGATGTTGAATGGGAGTTCAGCCTGGTTCTAATGTTTCTTATATGAATGCCTTTTAAATTTGTCTTTAACTATTTAAAGCAAAGTGGATTTAGTTACTCTGCAATCAAAGGGCTTTATCATATATATCCCCTGTCTCTATGTGTAACTAGAATCAATATTCATCACTTAGGCAACCCCAGAAACCGATTAGCAGCAAAATCTAATAAATAAATCCACCAAATTTCATAGACACCTGCCAAAATCTGTCCGAGGTTTTGAAATATTGTGCTGAAAGAACTACAGGGGCAAAAACATGACCTCATGACCGCCTATTTTATACAGTCTATACATGTAACAAACTGTGCTTAAACTCTATCAGCTGACGGTGGTTAAAGGTATTAAGTATCATGGTCATTTTAGTCTACAGTGAGAATAGGTTTTGTTGAGTTGTGCATAATTTGGTCTGTAGCTGCCATCAAGTCCATACAATCTAATTTTTGCAACATGATCGATAAATTGATCATCAATTGTTTTTTCCGGTCTTTTGCCCCAAAAAACTGAGAATTGAGGATCTTTTAAATTGTCCTAAACTATAATATTATTTTGGACCATTCGACAGATAAAACAAGCAATATGAAGATGTCAAATTGGACAAATTGGCATTTCTTTCACATTTCAGACACTAAACAGTTAATCAAGAAAATAATTGGTAGATTAATCAATAATGAAAATAATGGTTAGTTGCAACCCTACACTGCTACAAGTGAACGATAATTAAACACAACAGTAGGGGAAAAAAGCAAAGCAAAAGAGAAAAGGGCAACTATTTGGCAGTACACTGAATATACCCTATGGTGCAGAAAATACAAGAAATATATATAAATATAATAAAAAGGGTTCAGCCCAGGTTTTTTTCTGGATGTCTCGCAAATCACACAACTAGAACTCCATCGTTCTGACTGAGCATGAGAGCTTCAAAATGAACGAAACATCTTTGGTGTTTCGTTTCGTAGACTTAGGTGCATTTATATCAGTTAACATAAGACAATAACTATCCACAAGCTCAAATCAGATTAGTTCTCACATATCTGAAAACACCTTGATAGCTGTGCTGTGTGCGAGCTTTAGGACCAGAGAGTAAAGGTTTATATAATGTGATCAGTTCTGTCAGCACTTCATCTAATCGGACACGCATGTGCTCGGTCTTCATGTCTAATCTCAACTGAGTGAGGTTGAGTAAAAAATCTCTAGATTTAATCTCAAATAATTGAGCAACAGTGAGGTGCATGAAAACAAATCAACAAAGAGCTACTGCACAGTAAATAAAACAGGATGTTAGTAATTGTTTTGGTTTTTGCTTCGCACCACTGACGACCTGAACATTTTCTCATCATTAGATTAGCATTCATTATTTCTAGAGAGTATAATTTTGTATAGGCTGGAACAGGAAAGTCCTGCAAACTGTTTCAAACTGTGTGTGCATGAGAACCACAAAATACATTTTAGTCCAAAATTGTTGGGGGCCTCCATCAGGCCAAAACAATGGCAGGTTTTGATTGTTCTGTTTTTTTTTTAGAATTGTTTGCAACAAAGGTCCCCAGCTGGAGACGCCACATGGCCTGCATCCCAAACACCCAGGTCACCATAGCAGATTTTAGTAGTTAATAAAACCTAGTTACAGTCTAATATCTTTAAACTTGTCATATATCCTCGGCCTTGAATGTGAGGCTCTGTTGATGTTTTCCTCTTCCTCTTGCCTCTCCAGGCAGGTTTCTGTACATCCAACAGGCTATGGACACAGCGCTGCAGCCAGTTTATTTTGTGTGTGATGTTTGGAAGTTGGCCATTTTCCTCTCTGACCCTGGTAGCACTAACGTCACCAACACACGTTTTCCTCCTGATGCAATGATGAAGGAGCAGGCAGCCAACTAGTAATCTGCTAAATCAGGCCTGATCTGCTCAATAAAGCGATTTGGGGAACAAAATTAGATGGATTGGGCAAACAATGCTACTCTCTGTTTTCTCCCTATAGCCTGAGCTGTGGGGCCAAGTTTAGGCTTTAGATGTGTGTGTTTATGAGTTTGAGTGAGAGAGAAAGAAGCTGAGGCACATGGACAAAGCCATTTACAGAGCCATAACAACATGTACAACTCCACCTGCATCTTGCTGTGTTTTTATATTTAATCAATGAAAATAAAATTATGTACTACAATGCAATAATCTAGTGCCATGCTATTTCAGTCACTGGGATTTAACTGGGAATGTTGGAAGAGAAGAAAACCATAACTGTTAAAAGTGAACATGCTGCTTTTGTTTGACTGCCAACCTTCCCACTGTAGTGTGCTTTGTTTTGGGTCAATCCGCCTTTACTGCAGTGGGTTTTGTAACCCTGTTGGACATGGTGCAATTAGATGATTTCACATCCTGATTCAGTATTTGTGACAGACTCTGACCTGCTGGTCTGGATGATCACAAAAAATGTTTCCCAACACCAACAGAGCTGTGGTTTCATCCGTTAATGCTGCTGGTGCCAACAGTGCTGCTGTTAATGCTGATCTGGCTCTGGATCAAGTGGGGTGGCCGTGATGCCGTAGTTTTTCCTCTGCAATTAGTTACTCGTAATATAATGATTCAAGCCCAGAGACGTAAAAAGATCCATGAGAATACACATGGTAAAATAACAGAGCTGACTACATTACACAAATACAGTAGCTTCACAGTTTAAAAGATATGATAAAATGTGTGCTTCCTGTAAAAGTCTAACTTTTAATAATCATTTAAATGCAAATTTAGTTGATCAATTTATAACATTTTTAAACATTTTTTATCTTTTTCTTTGTTCACTTGAGGGCAGCTAAAGTTGCAAACAGAACATTAAGATATGATCACATTTGTAGCAAGAGAGTGAATCAACTAAAGCTGTGAGCCTGAAACCTAAAACAAGGAGAGGAGAGGGGGTTGCAGTCAGGTGATGATTCTGTGTTCTTCACAACAGCTGTCACATACAAATAGTAGTTTCAGCCTTTATTATAAAAGCTATAGCCTCTTTAAACATTGACCAATTTAAAATGATTCCAGTTCCATTCAGGGACAAAATCATAGTTTTCAGTCATCTTCCCGTCAACATTAAGTCCGTCTCTAAGACCTCAGTAAACCTGTTCACCCAGTAAGGAAATCAACCCGAGTACAAACCATTATGTTTTTTTAGACAAAAGAATGAAGCTCGGTACTGACGGGTACATTATAAGAGCTCTTGGAGACACTATGGCATAAACTGTAACTCGAGTTGCATACATCAGCAAAATTATGTTAAAGCAGAGCACAAGACATAGAAGAGACAACAATAAATAAAGAATAAGTAATATAATAGTAGTTAATGTTTGGTTTCACATTCACTCATTGAAAGCAAACAAAGTGATAGTATTTCATTTTAACGTGATGCCATTTTATTAGGACATTTAAGAGCAGCTTACAATGAGAGGTAATGAAATACCACCATTACAATTTAACAAAATATAAAACATTTAAGGCCACATATACATTGAGGTAACTGCAACAGTTTAAACATGAAAATGCAACAGTTTAAAACTTCTTGCCCCAAGTATAGTGTTTGAGAATGTTTTCCTTTTGCCTGGTAGATGGTGAAAAACATTTAAAAGCTGCAACATATTCCACTTTTGAGTGTGCGCATAGCAGCCACTTGTATGTCCTCATGTGAAGAGAGACATTTAAAAATATAAACTCAACCAAGAAACACAGTTGTGTTTTCCAAAATAGGGTGTATCTGTGGCCTACGAGTTCCCATGTTCCTGTTACTATTTAAATTGTAGTTCAAGTAAGAGCAGATAGTTAAGAGAACTTTAAACTCTGCATAAGTTAATAACCCCCAACTCTAAGAGCATCAATGTCACGCTATAAACATAAAAAGGTCTGTCACAACTCTGCAGACAAATATCTGGTATAACAGCAACAATAATGCTGTTAAGAACTCCAACCATTATTAAATCCAATAAGTTAGCAAGTGTTTTCAAAATTAAATTATTGTCCCAGTGATAGAGTACGTCTTCCCATGAGACAATACAGATACTCTTATCACATTTCCCCCAAAATACATTTAGTTACTTCTTACATTACTTTTCACTTGACATACTGTCAAGATGTTTTTCATTCACATAATTTATAGTGATCTGAACCCGCTCTATTGTACTGTCCATCGGCACGTAATAGGGGTCTGTTGAGGTATTTCCCACTAGATGCGTCTGTGTCATATATGACGAATACTCTCATGTCATTGGCTGTCAGCTATGACATCATCTGGCCAGTACTCGTCCTGCATGTAATGGTTTGAGGAGGCGAAGCTTGGCTCTTGGGGAGCGTTGTCGTCCCTCAGCTTGTTCTGCAGCTCCTGCTCCCATTCGCCCTCCACCAGCTTGTAGAGGTCGAGGGCGGCCTGAGCGTCCTCCACCGAACAGTGACCTCTCCTCCCCACCTGAAACACGGACAGTGCCGTTAACAATGAATCAAACTGATACTATCATACTGGCAACTGGACTTGAAAAATGCAAATGCAAAAACAATTCTCAGATACGGAAAACAGTTTTTTGAGGCCGATACCAATATGACAATATGGACGTTATATTAAAAAAGTCAAAACTGAAAATGCTTCTGAGGTCTCACCT